ATACACACACACACATATACACCCTCTCTCTTTACTGTATCCCCCATTTCTCCCCATATGACCCCTGTTTTTTCCCCTTCTTCTTTTAATTATGTTTTATTGTATGTGCACTGTAGTGGTCATAAGGAATCGGTTTATAGTAAATATGAACAATTTAACTTTACAGTAAATGGTTACAGTAGGTTAAAAAAAACAGTTAGCACATCCTAATGTCCACTACAAAGGACATTAAGAAGCTCTTATAAAAAATATTACACTGCCCTGAAAACTCACTACACTATTCCTGAGATATTTACTTACTACAAGGAATTTGAATATCAAACTCACAAAAATTATAATTACACAATTACACACACTCACCTTCTTCTACGATAAAATGTGCTAATTGTGTTTGGCAGCCGTTTTGAAAAACCAGGAAGAGAAAGTTATCCAGGTCACACCCCCACACATGTGATATCATTGAAAAGCCCAGAATGTCCTCTCAAAGGTACAACAGGACTTAACATAGAGGCATGTATGGGCCTCAAAGATACAGACCAAAACCCAATGTCCATTAGAGTGGACAAAAATGAATTGCTGGGTCTCACATGAGGATATACTCTAGGCCTATCTGGTTGACGAGAGCACAATGACCACCATATCACATCACATAACCAAGCCACACATGGGCCATATGTGCTCAGAATAAGTAATCAGTTCAGAGTCAGTGTTGTATAGTCATAGAGCATCAAAAAAGCCACATACAGTGTCTTCAGAAAGTATTAATACCCCTTGACTTATTCCACATTTTGTTGTGTTACAGCCTGAATTCTAAATGGATTAAATATATTTTTTCCCTCACCAATCTACACACAATACCCACTAATCACAAAGTGAAAACATGTTTTTAGACATTTTTGTGAATTTATTGAAAATGAAATACAGAAATATGTAATTTACATAAGTATTCACACCCCTGAGTCAATACTTTGGCAGTGATTACAGCTGTGAGTCTTTCTGGGTGAGTCTCTAAGAGCTTTCCACACCTGGATTGTGCAACATTTTCCCATTATTCTTTTAAAACTTCTTCAAGCTCTGTCAAACTGGTTATTGATAGTTGATAGACAACCATTTCAGATCTTGCAATAGATTTTCAAGTAGATTTAAGTCACTGTCTTCTTGGTAAGCAATTTCAGTGTAGATTTAGCCTTGTGTTTTAGGTTATTGTCCTGCTAAAAGGTGAATTCCTCTCCCAGTGTCTGGTGGAAAGCAGACTGAACCAGGTTTTCCTCTAGGATTTTGCCTGTGCTTAGCTCCATTCGGTTTATTTTTTATCCTGAAAAACTCCCCAGTCCTTAATGATTACACGCATACCCATAACATGATGCAGCCACCACTTTGCTTGAAAATATGGTGAATGGTACTCAGTAATGTGTCGTATTGAATTTGCCCCAAACATAACACTTTGTATTCAGGACAAAAAGTGAATTGCTTTGCCACATTTTTTGTAGTTTTATGTTAGTGCATTGTTGCAAGCAGGATGCATGTTTTGGAATATTTTTATTCTGTACAGGCTTCTTTCTTTCCACTTTGTCAATTAGGTTAGTATTGTGGAGTAACTACAATGATGTTGATCCAGCCTCAGTTTTCTCTTATCACAGCCATTAACTCTGTAACTGTTTTAAAGTCACCATTGGCCTCATGGTGAAATCCCTGAGTGGTTGCCCTCCTCTCCCTCAACTGAGTTAGGAAGGGTGCCTGTATCTTTGTAGTGGCTGGGTATATTGATACACCACCCAAAGTGTATTAATAACTTCACTATGCTCAAAGGGATAAAAAAAAAGTTACCCATCGACCAATAGGTGCCCTTCTTTTGCGAGACATTGAAAGACCTTTGTGGTTGAATCTGTGTTTAAAATTCACTACTCGACTGAGGGACCTTACAGATAATATCTATGTATGGAGTACAGAGATGAGATAGTCACTCAAAAACCATGTTGAACACTATTATTGCACACAGAGTGAGTCCATGAAACGTATTATGTGACTTGTTAAGCAAATGTTTACTCCTGAACTTATTTAGACTTGCCATAACAAAGGGTGGAATACTTATTGACTGAAGACATTTTGACTTTTCATTTGTAATTAATTTGTGTGAAAATAAAAAATTTGAAAAACATAATTCCACTTTGACATTATGGGTATTGTGTGTAGGCCAGTGACAGAATAACTCAATTGAATCCATTTTAAATTCATGCTGTAACACAACAACATGTGCTCAGTACGTGCTCAGAAGAACATACAGCTGAAGCCCGGCATGGGGTGTCTCACAACACATGCTACACAGAGTATTATACAGTATAGTGTAGGCTATTCTTCACAGAATGCAAAACATTGTGGGTGTATTAATGATGTGCAAGAAGTATCAAATACTGGATTAATTTCCTCATATAAAGATAGATATCAGTCTCATAATATTCTTATGTACTGGCCGAAAAACTATAGGGATGCTGGCCACTACTTAGTAAACGAAAAAGTTAGAAAAATGAATCTTGGGGCTTCCTTTTCCCATCAAGTCACTATTATATTGTCATGTGTTGTGAAGGGAAGGCTGGTGAAATAATGAACATCTGAAAGTGGATTAGTGTGAAAGAGAGAGGAGGAGTTAAATGAGCTCCATGGGAATGGTAGGGCTGTAGAAGCCCCAAGGCATCCTGATGTGCTAGAGGGAGAAGGTGATCGTTACAGTGGTGTTACAAGAACACACATGGGCATACACACACACAAATGCTTGAGCGCGCACACACACACACACGTTTGTTTTACTATCTTTGTGGGGACCAAACAATTGATTCCCATTCAAAATCCTATTTCCCTAGCCCCTAAACCTAACCCTAAATTTAACACCAAACCCCTAACCCTAAACCTAACCCTAACTCCTAACCCCTAACCCTAACCCTAAACCTAACCCATAAGCCTAAAATAGCCATTTTCCTTGTGGGGACCGGTGAAATGTTTTACTTGGGAGGACTTCTGGACCCCACAAGGATAGTAAAACTAAAAAGACACAAACACACACGCACACTAATCGATGTTGACTATTCATTCAACATGTTCTGCTTTCCACAGAGGTACAATATAATACGGTTCCATTCAATGATGTGATTAGGCCTATGTCCCTCTCAGCAACATCCGCTTTCAATAGCTCCCACGTGGTAGATCAATAGATGATGTCTGAGTTATTTGGGGCATAATAATCTTATGGTGTCGAAATATCAACGGTAGATTCCAAAACACACACACACACACCTCAGTCTGCCTGTCTGGCGGCGTTAGTGAGTCTGGCCTGGACTAGACAGCTTTAAGCTGCTGGGTAAAACAAGCGTCTAAAGTTCTTATCTCAAAGTACTGGTTGTTATCACATAATTTAACAGATATGGTTGTTATCCATTTCTTCCATCTGTATTGGGATGGGTGGCTCTTGCTGCAGGTAATGTGGATAACTGACATTGTAGACAGGGTTGGCGATAGTGTTAGATTGTGTGAGACGTGAAAGGGGCATTGGCTGGTGACTTCTCTCTATCTACAATGTCAAACTGATAGACAAAAATTGAAGTTTTAGAGTCAATTCTACGCATTTTGCCATGGGCCCTAGCGGTCGCTTATGTTGCTTATACCTGGAACCGGCCCTGTAGACAGCAGAAGCTTTTCTAAAGAGAATCCACCGAGGTACAGAGATACAGTAGAGATATACATTTTTGGACTGGTGATGCAGAGATATAGAGATAGACAGTTTTGGACAGCAGAAGATTTTCTTAAGAGGGTCCTCTGAGGTGTAGAGATATTAAAGATATCTGCTAGGCTGCTAACCCAAATGGCACTGTAGTAACTAAATAATGATGCTATTTATGCTGTGAGAACAAGGAATCCGCTGACACTGTACTTTGATTTCAGCGTCAATTTACAGACTTCTGCAGACATCTGGAGAACAACGGCCCAATCTCTTAATATGTTGTTACTCTCCGTCCTTTGTTTCAATCATGGTATTTATATCCTATGCCCTATGTAACATAATATGGGTGTTTTCCCATAAACCAATCCCAGGAGGCCACCTAACAGACTTCCTCTAACACACCATTTGCAAACATCAACAAAGTCATAAACTGTTTAGACACTACAGCACCCTATTCCCTATATAGTGCACTACTTTTGACCAGAGCCACTATATAAGGAATAAGGTGCCATTTTGGAAGCAGCCATAGACACCTTTGGACTGGGGCTGCGGAGCTGATATCACTCCCTGATAAATTAGCTCTGAAAACAGAGAGAATGGTGTGCTGCATTTGTTTTGTTAGTTTAATTGTAAAATATGTGTGCCGGTTGAGATCACCTAACCCAAGGCGGGCACTGTGTATCATATGTATCACCTACAACCATACAGAGGCTGCAGCCATTGTCACTGTGGGAGTCATTTAAATGATAAATATGGTGATCATAGTCAATGTGAATTTCACATGAGGAAATAGCTCTCTTGCGGTGTTTTGCACATATAAGTGTAGGTGGTCAATGTCTGGGACTAGCTGACAGAAGTTTATAAGTGAGGAGACAGGGTAGGAGAGAGAAGAGAGTGAGAGGAGGAGAGAGAGAGAGAGAGAGAGAGAGGAGAGCGAGAGAGAGAGGAGAGAGAGAGAGAGAGAGAGAGAGCCTCCAAGCGAGAGAGACAGAAAACGAAAGATAGGGGCGAGATGGTGCGAGAGATCGAACTAAGAAAAGAGAGCGGGAGAGATAGAGACGATCTCACAGAGAGGCTCACGCCGAAAGCCCCCAGAGCAAAAAGCCACCCCCTCCCACACCGCGCACGACATCCCTCCCTTTGGGCGGGCGGGGGGGGAGGTCTTTCGTGGTTTTTTTTTTTTTCTTTCTTCGGGATTTCTTCTTTCTTTCTTTATTTCTTTTTCTTTTTTCTTTCCCTCATCCCTCCCTGCTCCCTCCCCTCCCTCTCTACCTCCTTCCCTCTGCAGGTGGCCAACCTCCTCCGCCTCTTCCAGATCCCTCAGATCAGCTATGCCTCCACCAGCGCCAAGCTCAGTGACAAGTCTCGCTACGACTACTTCGCCCGCACCGTGCCACCTGATTTCTACCAGGCCAAGGCCATCGCCGAGATCCTGCGCTACTTCAACTGGACCTACGTGTCCACCGTGGCATCTGAGGGAGACTACGGCGAGACGGGCATCGATGCCTTCCAGCAGGAGGCCCGCGCCCGCCAGATCTGCATCGCCACCTCGGCTAAGGTCTGCCGGTTGTTGTTTGTTTGTTTGGTTATTGTTGTTGTTGTTGTTGTTGTTGTTGTTGTTGCCCCTGTCACAGCTAAATAATTAATATAGTGTAAATGATTCAGTAGTGTCTTATTGTAACATGCAATGATTATAAGCTGGTGCATAATTAATTTGGTGGTCAAACAGGTGAGCCGCTCGATGAACCGGTTCAGCTATGACCAGGTGATCCGCTCGCTGCAGCAGAAGTCCAACGCCAAGGTGGTCATCCTGTTCACACGCAGTGAGGATGCCAGGGAGCTGCTGGTGGCCGCCGCCCGCATGAACAGCACCTTCACCTGGGTGGCCAGTGATGGCTGGGGGGCGCAGGTAGGGTCTGGGAGTCCATTCAAAAATAGTTGATACCCGATTCACTGACAATTAAGGAACCAATTCCTGTATAATAATCGATTCCCGTCATTTTACTGCTGTTTTCGTTAAAATGTCATGTTTTGTGATTGTGATTTTTGGTAACTGCACATGTAAATTAAGTAAGAAATGTTATATTTTCATTCCAATTAGTGATAAAATGTGGATGATTTTCAGGAGAGCGTGGTGAGGGGAAGCGAGATGGCAGCCGAGGGGGCCTTCACCATCGAGCTGGCCTCCTACCCCATCCGGGAGTTTGCAGACTACTTCACCAAGCTGAACCCCTACACCAACACACGGAACCCCTGGTTCAGAGAATTCTGGGAGCACCGCTTCGACTGCAGTCTCACAGAGCCTGGTTGTAGTGAACACAGTCTGCGGGATGGCAAGTTTGAGCAGGAGTCCAAGATCATGTTTGTAGTGAACGCGGTGTATGCCATGGCTCATGCCCTGCATAATATGAGGCAGGCGGTGTGCCCACCCAATGCCACCAAGATTTGTGATGCCATGAAGCCAGGCACTGGGAAGAGGTTCTATAGAGACTTCATCCTCAAGGCCAAGTTTGATGGTGAGTGAAGCAGTCTTAACAATAGAAATAGAACTCCCAGAAGGGGCCATCCCCATTCTAGTAAATGTTCCATGATGTGTGGGCCGGCAGCCATATCGAGTGCACCCAATTCTGTGGGTAATCTAATTCAATTGCTATGGCCTTAACAGCCATATAAGGTCAGGTGACTTGATTACTGGCTATATCACAATGTTAGCCTATACTTCGTTCACCACACAGGTTTAGATATACAATAGAATGAAACTGTATCTTTGCCACTCATAATTTACATTTTAGTCATTTAGCAGATGCTCTTATCCAGAGCAACTTACAGGTAGTGAGTGCATACATTTTCATACTGGCCCCCCGTGGGAAACGAACCCACAACCCTGGCGTTGCAAGCGCCATGCTCTACCAACTGAGCTACAGGGGACCTGTCTATGAAATGTTCTATTCTTACATTTCTTATTTTCCATGTAATAACACACAGAACGTAAACGCTCTGCAAGCAGCTCAGAATCACATAGTAATCATATTATTCCCCTGAGCTTCTCCTAGAATGATGTCTAAATATAATTGAGTATTAAATGTTTTATTTAATCATGAATATTGGCAAATTGGGGCAATTTGAAACAAATGCTAATATGGATTGAGCGTGAGATTGGTTTCTCAGTTTATGTTATGTCCCTGTGGAGTTGAGAAAGGTTTGGTGATGATTCAATTTGCAGTGATAAAACATAAATTAATCAAATCAAATCAAATTTTATTGGTCACATGCGCCGAATACAACAGGTGCAGACATTACAGTGAAATGCTTACTTACAGCCCTTAACCAACAGTGCATTTATTTTAAACAAAAAAGTAAGAATAAAACAACAACAAAAAAGTGTTGAGAAAAAAAGAGCAGAAGTAAAATAAAGTGACAGTAGGGAGGCTATATATACAGTAAAATAAAGTGACAGTAGGGAGGCTATATATACAGGGGGGTACCGTTGCATAGTCAATGTGCGGGGGCACCGGCTAGTTGAGGTAGTTGAGGTAATATGTACATGTGGGTAGAGTTAAAGTGACTATGCATAAATACTTAACAGAGTAGCAGCAGCGTAAAAAGGATGGGGTGGGGGGGCAGTGCAAATAGTCCGGGTAGCCATGATTAGCTGTTCAGGAGTCTTATGGCTTGGGGGTAGAAGCTGTTGAGAAGTCTTTTGGACCTAGACTTGGCACTCCGGTACCGCTTGCCGTGCGGTAGCAGAGAGAACAGTCTATGACTAGGGTGGCTGGAGTCTTTGACAATTTTGAGGGCCTTCCTCTGACACCGCCTGGTATAGAGGTCCTGGATGGCAGGGAGCTTTGCCCCAGTGATGTACTGGGCCGTACGCACTACCCTCTGTAGTGCCTTGCGGTCAGAGGCCAAGCAGTTGCCATACCAGGCGGTGATGCAACCAGTCAGGATGCTCTCGATGGTGCAGCTGTAGAATTTTTTGAGGATCTGAGGACCCATGCCAAATCTTTTTAGTCTCCTGAGGGGGAATAGGCTTTGTCGTGCCCTCTTCACGACTGTCTTGGTGTGTTTGGACCATGATAGTTCGTTGGTGATGTGGACACCAAGGAACTTGAAGCTCTCAACCTGTTCCACTACAGCCCCGTCGATGAGAATGGGGGCGTGCTCAGTCCTCTTTTCTTTCCTGTAGTCCACAATCATCTCCTTTGTCTTGGTCACGTTGAGGGAGAGGTTGTTGTCCTGGCACCACACGGCCAGATCTCTGACCTCCTCCCTATAGGCTGTCTCATCGTTGTCGGTGATCAGGCCTACCACTGTTGTGTCGTCGGCAAACTTAATGATGGTGTTGGAGTCGTGCCTGGCCATGCAGTCATGGGTGAACAGAGAGTACAGGAGGGGACTGAGCACGCACCCCTGAGGGGCCCCCGTGTTGAGGATCAGTGTGGCAGATGTGTTGTTACCTACCCTTACCACCTGGGGGCGGCCCGTCAGGAAGTCCAGGATCCAGTTGCAGAGGGAGGTGTTTAGTCCCAGGATCCTTAGCTTAGTGATGAGCTTAGAGGGCACTATGGTGTTGAATGCTGAGCTGTAGTCAATGAATAGCATTCTCACGTAGGTGTTCCTCTTGTCCAGGTGGGAAAGGGCAGTGTGGAGTGCGATAGAGATTGCATCATCTGTGGATCTGTTGGGGCGGTATGCAAATTGGAGTGGCTCTAGGGTTTCTGGGATTATGCTGTTGATGTGAGCCATGACCAGTCTTTCAAAGCACTTCATGGCTACAGACGTCAGTGCTACGGGTCGGTAGTCATTTAGGCAGGTTATCTTAGAGTTCTTGGGCACGGGGACTATGGTGGTCTGCTTGAAACATGTTGGTATTACAGACTCAGTCAGGGACATGTTGAAAATGTCAGTGAAGACACTTGCCAGTTGGTCAGCACATGCTCGGAGTACATGTCCTGGTAATCCGTCTGGCCCTGCGGCCTTGTGAATGTTGACCTGCTTAAAAGTCTTACTCACATCGGCTACGGAGAGCGTGATCACATAGTCGTCCGGAACAGCTGGTGCTCTCATGCATGCTTCAGTGTTGCTTGCCTCGAAGCGAGCATAGAAGTGGTTTAGCTCGTCTGGTAGGCTTGTGTCACTGGGCAGCTCGCGGCTGTGCTTCCCTTTGTAGTCTGTAATAGTTTTCAAGCCCTGCCACATCCGACGAGCATCAGAGCCAGTGTAGTATGATTCAATCTTAGACCTGTATTGACTCTTTGCCTGTTTGATGGTTCGTCGGAGGTCATTGCGGGATTTCTTATAAGCGTCCGGGTTAGAGTCCCGTTCCTTGAAAGCGGCAGCTCTACCCTTTAGCTCAGTGCGGATGTTTCCTGTAATCCATGGCTTCTGGTTGGGGTATGTACGTACGGTCACTGTGGGGACGACATCATCGATGCACTTATTGATGAAGCCAGTGACTGATGTGGTGTACTCCTCAATGCTGTCTGAAGAATCCCGGAACATGTTCCAGTCTGTGCTAGCAAAACAGTCCTGTAGCTTAGCATCTGCGTCATCTGACCACTTTTTTATTAGCCGAATCACTGGTGCTTCCTGCTTCAGTTTTTGCTTATAAGCAGGAATCAGGAGGATAGAGTTATGGTCAGATTTGCCAAATGGAGGGCGAGGGAGAGCTTTGTATGCGTCTCTGTGTGTGGAGTAAAGGTGGTCTAGAGTTTTTTCCCCTCTGGTTGCACATTTAACATGCTGGTAGAAATGAGGTAGAACGGATTTAAGTTTCCCTGCATTAAAGTCCCCGGCTACTAGGAGCGCTGCATCTGGATGAGCGTTTTCCTGTTGATTAATGGCCTTGTACAACTCATTCAGTGCAATCTTAATGCCAGCATTGGTTTGTGGTGGTAAATAGACAGCTATGAAAAATATAGATGAAAACTCTCTTGGTAAATAGTGTGGTCTACAGCTTATCATAAGATACTCTACCTCAGGCGAGCAAAACCTTGAGACTTCCTTAGTATTTGATTTTGTGCACCAGCTGTTGTTTACAAATATACACAGACCGCCGCCCCTTGTCTTACCAGAGTCTGCCGTTCTGTCCTGCCGATGTAGCGTATAGCCTGCTAGCTGAATGTTGTCATTGTTGTCGTTCAGCCACGACTCCGTGAAACATAAGATATTACAGTTTTTAATGTCCCGTTGGTAGGATAACCGTAAATTAAATTAAATTAAATTAAATTAAACATCTATGGGATCATCAGTAAAAGATAGGGACTGAGTAAGATGCTTAGCAAGCAGCCTGTAGTATTTTAAGAACATGCCTCAAGAAGGGATGTTTGCATTAAAGGAATTAAAGATAAAACATTTACATAACATCTAAGTTTGTGAGAAAATTGTTTTACTAGAGACTCATATTAAAACTCAATATCTAACTAAAGGGGAGTGTTTTTCTTTCCTCTTAAATGTCATCATTTATATATTTCTGTTTCTCCTCATCTGAAACCCTGAAGAAGGCATCACACCCTATAATAATAATAATAATACAGAAGCATTTCTGAAATGTATTTCCATTGTCTTCAAAGACAAGATTCGCTGAATATTCTCCTCTCTCCTGTTTCCCCTCAGCTCCCTTCAGACCTGCGGACACGGAGAACATGGTGCGTTTCGATGCCTACGGAGACAGTCTGGGCCGGTACAACATCTTCCACTACCACAAAGAGGACAATAAATATGTGTACAGGAAGGTATGTAGGGGGGGGGGGGGGGGTTGGGAAAAAGGCAGTAGACACATTTATTTTTTAACCAAATGGATAATAAAGTATCTCTCCACTCCTGTCCTGTTTTCTAAAGGTGGGCTACTGGGCCCAGGGCCTCATCCTAAACACCAGCCAGGTGCCATGGAGGGGCCCGGGCGAGGGGCCCCCCACCTCCCAGTGCAGCGACCCCTGTAGGAAGAACGAGGTGAAGAGCATGCAGCCTGGAGACGTGTGCTGCTGGATCTGCATCCCCTGCCAGGTAATACATCCACAAGCAAGGAGAGATGAATGTAAGAGATTATTTTTAAAAAATCATTGTATAGTTTATCTTCCATTAGTCATCAGCTCACTTTGAGGGTGTGTTCCGCCCGGCGCCATTCATTTCTGCGAGTTGAAAATACACTACATTCTTTTTTGAAGTTTAGGGTTAGGATAGGGCTGTTGCAATGACCGTATTACTGCCACACTGGCAGTGATGAGTCATGACCGCAGTAAAATTCCATGTGATCTCTTTTTATGCACTCTGGACATGCTTTGGTACTACCCAACTTGCTAACTACCATCAGGTCTTAATGGCCTGGTACTCAGGGCTCTATTGTCCCTCTAACCACTCTGATATCAATGCAAATGCAATCAAAAATCACATCAAACACTTATCATGAAAACATACTTTCAAAACTCACCGCACTGTGATGATCAATTTGAAGAAAGAAGTTCAACAGCAGGTTGGTGTAAAAAAGGTTTTTGTGGATGTTGTTTCAAAGCCTAACACAACGAAATGGACAGCCTTTCTAAGGTGATGATTAATTCAAAACACCAATATGTGTATTAGAGTATATGCAAATGCATAGGATTATGAGCCCAATACTTTAAAAAAAAATACTGAATTAAAATTATGATTGTGCCATTATACAATGCATTGCCTACCGATATTACACATGGCAGAAAAACATGAAACAAAACTGATTTAAGATGTCCTTGGTACATAATTGGTCTAGCCTTTGAGTGTGGACTGTATTATTGTTCATACTGGATGGACTTGTTACCTTATGCTACACACCAAAATGTCTATCACGAGTCTGGGAGAGAACATATAGCCCTAGGAGATGCTGTTGGTTCATTGATTGTGCAAGGCGGCTTACATTTAGCCTACAATTAGTGCATTTGTGTTTAATTTTGAATAGCTTAGTAATAGGGGATTTTTTATATTTTCATAATTAATTGAGTGACACAATACCTTCAGTTATACAGAATATCTCACCACCATGCATTTCCATCTTCTCCTCTCTCCTTTATTCCTTTGTCGAGCATGCAGACGGGCTGTCAACAGTTTAGTGAAATATGTTTTGTTGCGAAAACGTGTTACTATTGATGTTCCTGAACAGATTTCACTTGGTTTCCCAAATTAAGCACTGGGTAGCTGCAGTAACAAGGTTGGAGAGCCCATGGCATACAGAGTTTTGGCGGAATATCGCCTGTCGGGCAGCGAGAGCATGCTCCTCAAACAGTGGTTGATGCGTGGAGTGAAATAAGTGTTCTTATATTTATTTCTCAGCTGCTCATATTAAGCACAGCTCCGTTATAAAACCGAAGTAACCTACAAAACAGACCGGCGGGAAAGCGCGGCCTCCATTCGCTATCTGAGTGAATATTACATGTATTTTTCCTCCTGCCCCTGTTCCTGCCCATTTGATAATGGGCCATTCTAAATCGAAACTAATTTTACATATTAGTAAAGACAAGATTAAATTGAGAATAGTCTGACTGGTGAAAGAAAATATTACATTTACATTTACATTTACGTCATTTAGCAGACGCTCTTATCCAGAGCGACTTACAAATTGGTGCATTCACCCTATAGCCAGTGGGATAACCACTTTATTTATTTTTTTTATTTTTTTTGGGGGGGGGGGAATACCTGGGATAGGATTACTTTATCCTATCCCAGGTATTCCTTAAAGAGGTGGGGTTTCAAATGTCTCCGGAAGGTGGTGAGTGACTCCGCTGTCCTGGCGTCGTGAGGGAGCTTGTTCCACCATTGGGGTGCCAGAGCAGCGAACAGTTTTGACTGGGCTGAGCGGGAACTATGCTTCCGCAGAGGAAGGGGAGCCAGCAGACCAGAGGTGGATGAACGCAATGCCCTCGTTTGGGTGTAGGGACTGATCAGAGCCTGAAGGTACGGAGGTGCCGTTCCCCTCACTGCTCCATAGGCAAGCACCATGGTCTTGTAACGGATGCGAGCTTCAACTGGAAGCCAGTGGAGTGTGCGGAGGAGGGGGGTGACGTGAGAGAACTTGGGAAGGTTGAACACCAGACGGGCTGCGGCATTCTGGATGAGTTGTAGTGGTTTAATGGCACAGGCAGGGAGCCCAGCCAACAGCGAGTTGCAGTAATCCAGACGGGAGATGACAAGTGCCTGGATTAGGACCTGTGCCGCTTCCTGTGTAAGGCAGGGTCGTACTCTCCGAATGTTGTAGAGCATGAACCTGCAGGATCGGGTCACCGCCTTGATGTTAGCGGAGAACGACAGGGTGTTGTCCAGGGTCACGCCAAGGCTCTTCGCACTCTGGGAGGAGGACACAACGGAGTTGTCAACCGTGATGGCGAGATCATGGAACGGGCAGTCCTTCCCCGGGAGGAAGAGCAGCTCCGTCTTGCCAGGGTTCAGCTTGAGGTGGTGATCCGTCATCCATACTGATATGTCTGCCAGACATGCAGAGATGCGATTCGCCACCTGGTTATCAGAAGGGGGAAAGGAGAAGATTAGTTGTGTATCGTCAGCGTAGCAATGATAGGAGAGGCCATGTGAGGATATGACAGAGCCAAGTGACTTGGTGTATAGGGAGAAAAGGAGAGGGCCTAGAACTGAGCCCTGGGGGACACCAGTGGTGAGAGCACGTGGTGCGGAGACAGCTTCTCGCCACGCCACTTGGTAGGAGCGACCGGTCAGGTAGGACGCAATCCAGGAGTGAGCCGCGCCGGAGATGCCCAGCTCGGAGAGGGTGGAGAGGAGGATCTGATGGTTCACAGTATCAAAGGCAGCAGACAGGTCTAGAAGGACAAGAGCAGAGGAGAGAGAGTTAGCTTTAGCAGTGCGGAGAGCCTCCGTGACACAGAGAAGAGCAGTCTCAGTTGAATGACCAGTCCTGAAACCTGACTGGTTTGGATCAAGAAGGTCATTCTGAGAGAGATAGCAAGAGAGTTGGCTAAAGACGGCACGCTCAATAGTTTTGGAAAGAAAAGAAAGAAGGGATACTGGTCTGTAGTTGTTGACATCAGTGGGATCGAGTGTTGGTTTTTTGAGAAGGGGTGCAACTCTCGCTCTCTTGAAGACGGAAGGGACATAGCCAGCGGTCAAGGATGAGTTGATCAGCGAGGTGAGGTAGGGGAGAAGGTCACCGGAGATGGTCTGGAGAAGAGAGGAGGGGATGGGGTCATGCGGGCAGGTTGTTGGGCGGCCTGCAGTCACTAGTCGCAAGATTTTATCTGGAGAGAGAGGGGAGAAAGAAGTCAAAGCATAGGGTAGGGCAGTGTGAGCAGGACCAGCAGTGTCATTAGACTTAACAAACGAGGATCGGATGTCGTCAACCTTCTTTTCAAAGTGGTTGACGAAGTCATCCACAGAGAGGGAGGAGGGGGGGGGGTGGGGGGTGGGGGGGGAGGATTCAGCAGTGAGGAGAATGTGGCAAAGAGCTTCCTAGGGTTAGAGGCAGATGCTTGGAATTTAGAGTGGTAGAAAGTGGCCTTAGCAGCAGAAACAGATGAAGAAAATGTAGAGAGGAGGGAGTGAAAAGATGCCAGGTCGGCAGGGAGTTTAGTTTTCTTCCATTTCCGCTCAGCTGCCCGGAGCTCTGTTCTGTGAGCTCGCAATGAGTCATCAAGCCACGGAGCTGGAGGGGAGGACCGAGCCGGCCGGGAGGATAGGGGACACAGGGAGTCAAAGGATGCAGAAAGGGAGGAGAGGAGGGTTGAGGAGGCAGAATCAGGAGATTGGAGGGAGAAGGATTGAGCAGAGGGAAGAGATGATAGGATGGAAGAGGAGAGAGTAGTGGGAGAGAGAGAGCGAAGGTTGCGGCGGCGCGTTACCATCTGTGTAGGGGCAGAGTGAGTAGTGTTGGAGGAGAGCGAGAGAGAAAAGGATACAAAGTAGTGGTCGGAGACATGGAGGGGAGTTGCAGTGAGATTAGTAGAAGAGCAACATCTAGTAAAGATGAAGTCAAGCGTATTGCCTGCCTTGTGAGTAGGGGGGGACGGTGAGAGGGTGAGGTCAAAAGAGGAGAGGAGTGGAAAGAAGGAGGCAGAGAGAAATGAGTCAAATGTAGACGTAGGGAGGTTGAAATCCCCCAAAACTGTGAAGGGTGAGCCATCCTCAGGAAAGGAACTTATCAAGGCGTCAAGCTCATTGATGAACTCTCCAAGGGAACCTGGAGGGCGATAGATGACAAGGATATTAAGCTTAAATGGGCTAGTGACTGTGACAGCGTGGAATTCAAATGAGGAGATAGACAGATGGGTTAGGGGAAAAATTGAGAATGACCACTTGGGAGAGATGAGGATTCCTGTGCCACCACCCCTCTGACCAGATGCTCTCGGGGTATGCGAGAACACATGGTCAGACGAGGAGAGAGCAGTAGGAGTAGCAGTGTTTTCAGTGGTAATCCATGTTTCCGTCAGCGCCAGGAAGTCGAGGGACTGGAGGGTAGCATAGGCTGGGATGAAGTCAGCCTTGTTGGCAGCAGAACGGCAGTTCCAGCGGCTGCCTGAGACCTGGAACTCCAGGTGTGTGGTGCGTGCAGGGACCACCAGGTTAGAGAGGCAGCAGCCACGCGGTGTGAGGCGTTTGTGTAGCCTGTGCGGAGAGAAGAGAACAGGGATAGGCAGAGGCATAGTTGACAGGCTGTAGCAGATGGCTACAATAATGCAGAGGAGATCGGAATGAAATGAACTAAACATCTGGGAAAGGAGAGAGCAAGGCCTCCCTCAACTCTCCCAACTTCCACCTCAGAAACTATAATTGTTTCACTGAACCACCCGAATAAAACTCTCCCAACTTCCACTTTAGAAATTAGAATTGTTGTAAACTACAGCGGTTCAATGTTTCAAGGACTAGACTCAACTTACTTTATTCAGCTAGCTAACTATGACGCCATAGCTAACTAGCATGCTAGCATCCAATAACACACAGTTTAGCACCAATACTTGGTTACAACAAACTACCAATAGTGTGTTAACACACTAAACAGATAATTCGTGTCCGTGTCTAGTTCTTTCATAACGCAGCAATGATTAAACGTTGGCTAGCTAGCACAAAGATATTGTATTTAGCTACTACAGTACAGCTAGCTGGTAGTGTTGGCTAGCTAGCAATGGCTGCTGTGTTGACTTTGTTTGAAAAACGGCGTCGCTGCAAACGAATGTAGCTGGCTAAAAGGATATTGTATTTAGTTGCTACCGTTGCTAATAGCTACTAGCCAGCTAGTCCAGGAGGTGAGTTAGCTAGCTAGCTTCGTGCTACACCCGGCACCGCCGAATACAAAAGTAACCTACAATAACTACATACAACAACTACCCACAACAGCCCACGATGCCTACCTATAATACCTAATAATATACAGCCCACGATGCCTACCTATAATACCTAACTACAATCTAAATACATAGTTTAAGCCTTACTCGACAAAGCCCAAGCTATGTATAAAGCCAAACTTACCCAACGCCAGCTATCTGGGTGGCAGACTGCAATCAGTAGCTGTAATTAAGTACAGCAGCTACCAACCACCTAACGTTAATGCCTCGGATAATGAGGTTAGAAAAACAGCTGAATGGTAGGCAGCTAGCTGGCTCAATTACAGGTACTCTTAAGCGTGAAATAACATTGGAAACAACTAACCACAGTTGCTAAAAGTTACCAGTAGCTACCCGCTAGCTAGCTAGCTTTGTTGGTCCAAGTAGTGGGTTAGCTAGCACTCGTGCTTCGCCGGGGTCCGCCGAATACAATACTTACCTACAATAATGACCTACAATAACCTACAATAACCTACAATAACTACCTAAGTAAACTACCTATAATACCTGACTACAATACCTACCTACAATCTAAATACATGGTTTAAGCTTTACTCAACATCATATAAGAAGCCAAGCTTACCTCCTGCTAGAGAAAACACAACCTCTCCCGACCACCGACCACCGACATCATATTTTCACTTGATGAGAGAACAGCTGTGCAGCCTGAGGCAAGGAACAGAGCGCAAGCTTTTTTGCTACTTTCTCAAATCATCAATAACCTATAGTCGCACAATGCAGCCCATATATGACATTCTAAGGTTTGTATAATTCACAACTAAAGTTGACAAATAACTATAAATCTAGCATATAGGACCTGTGCACTCGCTCCTTTCTATTTCATTCAGCTGTTCAATGGTATTCTTCTTTCTATAAAATCAGATTTTAAAAATAATGGCACCGGACTTCTACGCATATCTTGTCTGCTAAATGAACAAGCCTACAGCCTATAGCATGGAGCCTAGCCAGATAACATAGGCCTACAGTAGACCTACTCATTTTCTGTTCTTCTGAAATACATTTTCTTCATATCATAATGTTTCTTTAGTTGAAATATTGTTGATAGTTAGTTTAACAACTACTGAACAGCTACAAACCATCTATTTGGGACTATACACTTCCTTTCCCCCTGCCAGCCCTACCAGTACCTGCTGGATGAGTTCACCTGTGCAGACTGCAGCTTCGGCCAGTGGCCCCAGGCCAACCTGACAGGCTGTTTCGACCTGCCAGAGGAGTACATCCGCTGGGAGGTACTGTCACTGTTTTCCCTCTCCCTTATTTTTCTCAAATTTTCTTCCCTTTAAAAAAAAATATTACAGTGGGGGGGAAAAGTATTTAGTCAGCCAACAATTGTGCAAGTTCTCCCACTTAAAAAGATGAGTGAGGCCTGTAATTTTCATCATAGGTACACATCAACTATGACAGACAAATTGAGGAAAAAAAATCCAGAAAATCACATTGTAGGATTTTTTATGAATTTATTTGCAAATTATGGTGGAAAATAAGTATTTGGTCACCTACAAACAAACAAGATTTCTTTCTGGCTCTCACAGACCTGTAACTTCTTCTTTAAGAGGCTCCTCTGTCCTCCACTCGTTACCTGTATTAATGGCACCTGTTTGAACTTGTTATCAGTATAAAAGACACCTGTCCACAACCTCAAACAGTCACACTCCAAACTCCACTATGGCCAAGACCAAAGAGCTGTCAAAGGACACCAGAAACAAAATTGTAGTCCTGCACCAGGCTGGAAAGACTGAATCTGCAATAGGTAAGCAGCTTGGTTTGAAGAAATCAACTGTGGGAGCAATTATTAGGAAATGGAAGACATACAAGACCACTGATAATCTCCCTCGATCTGGGGCTCCACACAAGATCTCACCCCGTGGGGTCAAAATGATCACAAGAACGGTGAGCAAAAATCCCAGAACCACACGGGGGACCTAGTGAATGACCTGCAGAGAGCTGGGACCAAAGTAACAAAGCCTACCATCAGTAACACACTACGCCGCCAGGGACTCAAATCCTGCAGTGCCAGACGTGTCCCCCTGCTTAAGCCAGTACATGTCCAGGCCCGTCTGAAGTTTGCTAGAGTGCATTTGGATGATCCAGAAGAGGATTGGGAGAATGTCATATGGTCAGATGAAACCAAAATCGAACTTTTTGGTAAAAACTCAACTCGTCGTGTTTGGAGGACAAAGAATGCTGAGTTGCATCCAAAGAACACCATACATACTGTGAAGCATGGGGGTGGAAACATCATGCTTTGGGGCTGTTTTTCTGCAAAGGGACCAGGACGACTGTTCCGTGTAAAGGAAAGAATGAATGGGGCCATGTATCGTGAGATTTTGAGTGAAAACCTCCTTCCATCAGCAAGGGCATTGAAGATGAAACGTGGCTGGGTCTTTCAGCATGACAATGATCCCAAACACACCGCCCGGGCAACGAAGGAGTGGCTTCGTAAGAAGCATTTCAAGGTCCTGGAGTGGCCTAGCCAGTCTCCAGATCTCAACCCCATAGAAAATCTTTGGAGGGAGTTGAAAGTCCGTGTTGCACAGCGACAGCCCCAAAACATCACTGCTCTAGAGGAGATCTGCATGGAGGAATGGGCCAAAATACCAGCAACAGTGTGTGAAAACCTTGTGAAGACTTACAGAAAACGTTTGACCTTTGTCATTGCCAACAAAGGGTATATAACAAAGTATTGAGAAACTTTTGTTATTGACCAAATACTTATTTTCCACCATAATTTGCAAATAAATTCATTAAAAATCCTACAATATGATTTTCTGGATTTTTTTTCTTCTCATTTTGTCTGTCATATTTGACGTGTACCTATGATGAAAATTACAGGCCTCTCTCATCTTTTTAAGTGGGAGAACTTGCACAATTGGTGGCTGACTAAATACTTTTTTTCCCCACTGTATGTGAAGTGTTTTGCGACTTTCACATGTGAAATAACACTTTAAATAAACCTTGATTTGATTTAGGATGCCTGGGCCATTGGGCCGGTCACCATCTCCTGCCTGGGCATGTTGTGTACCCTCTCCGTGGTGGGCCTGTTCTTCAAACATAATGACACCCCAGTGGTCAAAGCCAGCGGCCGGGAGCTGTCCTATATCCTCCTACTCGGGGTCCTGATGTGCTACAGCATGACCTTCATCTACATTGCCAAGCCCTCGACGGCCGTGTGTACCCTACGTCGACTCGGCCTGGGTACCTCCTTCGCTGTGTGCTACTCGGCGCTCCTCACCAAGACCAACCGCATCGCGCGGATCTTCAGCGGGGTGAAGGACGGGGCCACACGGCCACGGTTCATCAGCCCGGCCTCCCAGGTGGCTATCTGCGGCGGGCTGATCTCCTGTCAGCTCCTGGTGGCCTTGGTCTGGCTCCTGGTGGAGATGCCTGGCGTCAGGAAGGAGGTGGGTGTAACAGAGTTGGATTCCTAATCTCACTCCCCAGCCTGAAATGTTTCCACTCACGCTGTCAAATAATTTGCTTTTCTATAGAGTAATAAGATGTTGTCAAGCAGGCAGTCATGTGTGTTTGCAAGGCAGAGGATCCCAGTGAGGGACAGAGATGGAAGCTATACTGTTAAGCAAGCACAATGACAGTGACGCCTGTCACATAAGCATAGAGATATAATACTTTTCTATATGAATATACTGTTCACTACTCAATATAGCTAATACTATTCTATTCTATTTAATTCTATGGAGGTGAGCCCCGAGAGGAGGGATATAGTCACCCTGAAGTGCAACAGTAAGGACTCCAGCATGCTGGCTGCTCTGGCCTACAACTGCATCCTCATCGTCCTCTGCACGGTCTATGCCTTCAAGACCAGGAAGTGCCCCGAGAACTTCAACGAGGCCAAGTTCATTGGGTTCACCATGTACACCACCTGTATCATCTGGCTTGCGTTCCAGCCCATCTTCTACGTAACGGCCAGCGACTACAGGGTGAGTGGGAATAATAGACTCCAATTAGGGTTGTAAAAATGCTGGTAACTTTTCCAAAAGGTCCAGGTTTTCCAGAAATCCTGGTTGGAGGTTTTCGGATTTCCTGCTTATTCCCTCCAGATTTCAGGAATCTTCTAACCAGGATTTTTGGACAACTTGGGAATTTTAGGAAAGTTACCGGAATTTATGCAACCCCAACTACAATATATTGTAATGAAACGAGGGACTAGAACGAGGTAATCGTGCTTATCAACACTAGGGTCACTACGATATGAATGACATGGTGGGTGTCTTTTCTCCCAGAACATTATTTTAAAAATCTATAAGTCCTTGAATGTGTCTTAGTGTACCAATGGATCTAGGTGACATACATACATTCCTTTTGATCATCACCTTCCTCTGTGTCTCATCAAAGGACTGTATTTCTTTTAATGTGTTGTAGAGATGCTTTAAAGACAAGAAGAAAGACACTGGAGATATCAGAGATACCCAGTCTTGATTATGTGGGCATTAAACCCCAGTCTTAATAGGCACATACAGTATGGTCACATCGACTGTGACTGAGAAGACAAAGACATTCTCCAAATTATTTTCCGTATCTAAAACTGCAGTATTGTCATTGCAATACCTTATATTAAGTAATTATGTTTTTCTCCCTTCTAATGTCGACAGTGAAATGTGCAGAAGATTCCACCAGGGCATTTAGATAGGAAGACTCTTGTTCCCAGTGTCCCTCTTCTAATAGGGCATTTAGATAGGAAGACTCTTGTTCCCAAAGTCCCTTTTCTAATAGGGCATTTAGATAGGAAGACTCTTGTTCCCAAAGTCCCTTTTCTAATAAGGCATTTAGATAGGAATACTTGTTTCCAGCGTCCCTCTTCTAATAGGGCATTTAGATAGGAACACAGAGTTGCAAGATTGCGACACTTCCGAGAACGCTTGCGAAACAGACCAAACAGACCAGTTTAAGAAGTCAATGAGAGAAGTGAAAAATTATTCCTTAGTTGTTAATGTTCTCGAAATCTAAAGGCACAACCTAGATTCGAGCCAATGTCTTAGGTAGTTGAATATAATACTCCAACCTTGAGAAAGTGACAAACTGACACATTTTAATTTTCATCAAAAACAACTTTAGAAATCGAAGGGCCTTTGATTTGAAGGCCTGCACATGCACAGTTCGGAGCGAGACGACTTTAAGACCCGATGACTTGTGTCTACGCATGAGCTTAGCTAGCCAACGTCGCCATGTCATCACCTACAAGTGTGATCTGAGATTTCTATTGGAGAAGCAGTTTTAGCCTATGTTCATACTGCACTGTCTTTGATAGGAAGACTCTTGTTCTCAGCATCCCTCTACTAATATGGCATTTAGATAGGAAGACAAATCTAATACTGCCGCAGCTTCGTTTCCTGTTCTCAGCTGAGATCAGTTTGAAGGAGAGAAAAGAGGAATGGGAGCTGGGCTTCTCAGGGCCTGATGCTTAGATTGTCTACGATTATTGATAGTCATCTACAGACAGGCTTAGCATTCACACTAAATAGTTCAAAACACTATATTTTTTTACTGCTAAACAAATAAACACCCAATCTACATCTCAGACTGTGCCCCTTCTCAACACCCACATGATGAGTCCTATATGACACCACACCATAGCCTAACAGGATATACTTACCTGTATACAGTGGGGAAAAAAGTATTTAGTCATCCACCAATTGTGCAAGTTCTCCCACTTAAAAAGATGAGAGAGGCCTGTAATTTTCATCATAGGTACACGTCAACTATGACAGACAAATTGAGAAAGAAAAATCCAGAAAATCACATTGTAGGATTTTTTATGAATTTATTTGCAAATTATGGTGGAAAATAAGTATTTGGTCACCTACAAACAAGCAAGATTTCTGGCTCTCACAGACCTGTAACTTCTTCTTTAAGAGGCTCCTCTGTCCTCCACTCGTTACCTGTATTAATGGCACCTGTTTGAACTTGTTATCAGTATAAAAGACACCTGTCCACAACCTCAAACAGTCACACTCCAAACTCCACTATGGCCAAGACCAAAGAGCTGTCAAAGGACACCAGAAACAAAATTGTAGACCTGCACCAGGCTGGGAAGACTGAATCTGCAATAGGTAAGCAGCTTGGTTTGAAGAAATCAACTGTGGGAGCAATTATTAGGAAATGGAAGACATACAAGACCACTGATAATCTCCCTCGATCTGGGGCTCCACACAAGATCTCACCCCGTGGGGTGAAAATGATCACAAGAACGGTGAGCAAAAATCCCAGAACCACACGGGGGGACCTAGTGAATGACCTGCAGAGAGCTGGGACCAAAGTAACAAAGCCTACCATCAGTAACACACTACGCCGCCAGGGACTCAAATCCTGCAGTGCCAGACGTGTCCCCCTGCTTAAGCCAGTACATGTCCAGGCCCGTCTGAAGTTTGCTAGAGTGCATTTGGATGATCCAGAAGAGGATTGGGAGAATGTCATATGGTCAGATGAAACCAAAATCGAACTTTTTGGTAAAAACTCAACTCGTCGTGTTTGGAGGACAAAGAATGCTGAGTTGCATCCAAAGAACACCATACATACTGTGAAGCATGGGGGTGGAAACATCATGCTTTGGGGCTGTTTTTCTGCAAAGGGACCAGGACGACTGATCCGTGTAAAGGAAAGAATGAATGGGGCCATGTATCGTGAGATTTTGAGTGAAAACCTCCTTCCATCAGCAAGGGCATTGAAGATGAAACGTGGCTGGGTCTTTCAGCATGACAATGATCCCAAACACACCGCCCGGGCAACGAAGGAGTGGCTTCGTAAGAAGCATTTCAAGGTCCTGGAGTGGCCTAGACAGTCTCCAGATCTCAACCCCATAGAAAATCTTTGGAGGGAGTTGAAAGTCCGTGTTGCCCAGCGACAGCCCCAAAACATCACTGCTCTAGAGGAGATCTGCATGGAGGAATGGGCCAAAATACCAGCAACAGTGTGTGAAAACCTTGTGAAGACTTACAGAAAACGTTTGACCTGTGTCATTGCCAACAAAGGGTATATAACAAAGTATTGAGAAACTTTTGTTATTGACCAAATACTTATTTTCCACCATAATTTGCAAATAAATTCATTACAAATCCTACAATGTGATTTTCTGGATTTTCTTTTCTCAATTTTTCTGTCATAGTTGATGTGTACCTATGATGAAAATTACAGGCCTCTCTCATCTTTTTAAGTGGGAGAACTTGCACAATTGGCGGCTGACTAAATACTTTTTCTCCCCCACTGTATATCTGTATATATGGAACTTGCTTCCATTCAGCCACAAGAGCGTTAGTGAGGTCGGGCACTGATGTTGGGCGATTAGGCCTGGCTCGCAGTCGGCGTTCCAATTCATCCCAAAGCTGTTCAATGGGGTTGAGATCAGGGCTCTGTGCAGGCCAGTCAGGTGCTTAAATTTTTGTCATTTAGCAGACGCTCTTATCCAGAGCAACTTACAGTTAGTGAGTGCATACATTTTTTTTTCTCATACTGGCCCCCCGTGGGAATCAAACCCACAACCCTGGTGTTGCAAGCACCATGCTCTACCAACTGAGCTACACGGTGCTTCCACACCGATCATGACAAACCATTTCTGTATGGACCTCGCTTTGTGCATGGGGCATTGTCATGCTGCAACAGGAAAGGGCCTTCCCCAAACTGTTGCCACAAAGTTGGAAACACAGAATCGTCTAGAATGTCATTGTATGCTGTAGCGTTAAGATTTCCCTTCACTGGAACTAAGGGGCCTAGCCCAAACCATGAAAAACAGCCCCAAACCATTATTCCTCCTCCACCTAACTTTACAGTTGGCGCTATGCATTTGGGCAGGTAGCGTTCTCCTGGCATCCGCCAAACCCAGATTCATCTGTTGGACTGCCAGATGGTCAAGCCTAAGATCACTCCAGAGAACGCGTTTCCACTGTTTAAGAGTCCAATGGCGGCGAGCTTTACACCACTCCAGCCGACACTTGGCATTGCGCATGGTGATCTTAGGCTTGTGTGCGGCTGCTCGGCCATGGAAACCCATTTCATGAAGCTCCCGACTAACAGTTCTTGTGCTGATGTTGCTTCCAGAGGCAGTTTGGAACTCACGGGCCCCGTGTAACTCAATTGGTAGAGCATGGCGCTCGCAACGCCAGGGTTGTGGGTTTGATTCCCACGGGGGGCCAGTATGAAAAATGTATGCACTAACTGTAAGTCGCTCTGGATAAGAGCGTCTCCTAAATTACTAAAAATGTTTTTTTTTATGTAGTGAGTGGTGCAACCGAGGACAGACAATTTTTACGTGCTACGCGCTTCAGCACTCGGCGGTCCTGTTCTGTGAGCTTGTGTGGCCTATCACTTTGCGGCTGAGCCGTTGTTGCTCCTAGACATTTCCACTTCACAATAACAGCACTTACAGTTGACTGGGGCAGCTCTAGCAGGCCAGAGATTTAACGAACTGACTTGTTGGAAAGGTGGCGTCCTATGACGGTCACTGAGCTCTTCAGTACGAGCCATTCTACTGCCAATGTTTGTTTATGGAGATTGCATGGCTGTGTGCTCGATTTTATACACCTGTCAGCAACGGGTGTGGCTGAAATAGCCGAATCCACTAATTTGAAGGGGTGTCCAAATACGTTTGGGCATGTAGTATAGCTTAGAGGCCCACATAGAGCATTCAACCACCCTGTGTCATGCCTATGAAGCCTTTGTTGCCATGTAAGCAGGATAAAGAGAGACTGTGTATAAAACGGACAGAACAGTTTAGTCTAGGGTGTATGATAACTTTGACCCAAGGCTGAATCTAGTGTAGTCTAATGCCTGTTCGGTTGGTGTTGGTGTGCCACTGTGCTCTGGGTGTACAGACAGAGGAGGGAGAGAGGAAGGGGAATACTCACATTGGCCTTGCATCATGAGGTTCCCCAGGACATCTCCTCATGATCTCTACAGTGCTTTATCCATCTACTAGCAAAAAATAAATGTCAACGCTAGCAATACCTGAGTTGAAAGAGAAACGTTTGAGAAAGGGGTGTGAAAGGAGTGAGAGACTGAACAAATGAACAGTATAATGATGTGTACATATTGAATATAGATGATTAGTGTTCATGTTGGAGCTGTGGTAGACAAAATAATTAAAATAGGAAAAGGTTTTGGCACTGCAACAGAAACCTTGACGCTTTGATCTCTGTTTGTGTGACATTAATAATACCAGCAGTTGGGCTCTGCTTCCTGCATTTTAAATATGGTTTAGATAAAACATTGCAGAGATATTCTCACATGAAAAACCAGCTGTCTTGTTCATTAAATTGTGATGAACCTGGAGTCTCCCAGATGGACATTCAATATTCCAGCCAGTGCTTCCAGCAACATTTACATTACATTTGACATTTTAGTCATTTAGCAGACGCTCTTATCCAGAGCGACTTGCAATTAGTGAATTCATCTTAAGATAGCTAGGTGAGACAACAACACATCACAATCGTATCAAGTACATTTTCCCTCAACAAAGCATTTATCAGCAAAGTTAGTAGGAAATAACAGACATTTTTAGTTTTCCCCGCTCTCTCTCCTGCTTTCTCTCTGCCTTTCTCTCGCTTCTCTCTTAAAGCTCAAGGCTATTGATTTAGTCTAGTACTAGTCCTGTCAGTCTGAGTGGGTCGGTGGTGCTGGCTGGACTGCCTCAAAATGTCCAGTGAGCCCCGTTCACTCTAACCCAACCTCCTCTCTCTCCCTCTACCCCCATACAGGTTCAGACCACCACCATGTGCATCTCTGTCAGTCTGAGTGGGTCGGTGGTGCTGGGCTGTCTCTTCGCTCCCAAGGTCCACATCATCCTATTCCAGCCCCAGAAGAACGTGACCACGCTGAGAGTGGCTGCCAACCGTTTCGGGGCCACGGTCAAATCAGCATCGGCATCTGCCCCCAGCTCTAGCTACTCTAAAGGTAGTGTCTCTATCACTGGTAAATGGGATTTTGTTTTTTGTAAACAACCATTAACATTTATTTTTGTCATCACATATAAATCGTACATCAACTAAATGTTTCAGTCGTTTTTGGTGAGCCATCAACTGAAACATACTGTAGATCTACTGCTATTTATGATTTCATTATATTGATATTTGTTCTGCACTGTTGACGGAGCTCGCAAGTAAGCATTTTGCTGCATCGTTTATACCTGTTTTAAACACTGTGTGACGAGTATGTTGTGTTTGGCCAATCTAAAAGTAGAACACTACAAAATTCTGCCAAAAACAGATCCCTTGGTTCAATTTTTGTTTGCTTTAATCAATGTGAAAAACTAGGTGATACGTACACTTTATAACTAGTCTGTTAATTTGGTATTTTAATGAAAAAATGTTACCCTCTATTCTCATTATTTTCCAGCATCAGCCTCGACCTGTGTGCCAACAACGGTAACAACAGTCTGTAACGGTCGTGAGGTAGTGGACTCCACTACGTCCTCTTTGTGAAGAAGGTTGAGCTGCTTGTATCATTCCTCTGTCCTGAGAACATCACAAGCCACAGTTGCATACGAAATCATCCCCTCTCATACAACAAGGCTGCTGTCATATCTCAAGTCCCATTTACAGTAGAGACAAGTAGAGGCTGTCTATTCGAACAGAGGGAGGCCAGGATGCTCTTAACTGTGAAAGCTAAATTATGTGACTATACTTAGCAGTATTACGTAATGTAGGATTGTAAAGCATTTTTGTATAGATTTAACAGTACGTGATTGATTTTGCTTGGTTTCGAGATAGACTCGTCGTTGAATGCACTGCTGTATGCCTTGCTGTCAGTACAGAGAATCAATCTTATGAATGAGGTGGTTCATGTGAAGCGATCATGGAGTCGTAACAAAAGGTTGTTCTTATCTTGTCCTTACAGTGCTGTTAATACGATATCAAAATGTTATTTTTCTCTTCGACTAGAGTATTATTAATATAAAACACTTATTGAAATCATTTCGCCCCTTGTTTTTAAACTACATTTGAATGACATGAGATTAACCATAGTGAAAGTGATGATTAAAAACTAGGCTACTATACAGTATAAAGGACAATGTTTTAATGTAGACTTTGGTGAACCAGTTTGTGCTTTCTTGTAATTTATGTAAATAAATTGTGTTATTTTTTAATTATTAAAACATAAAATGCCAGTGTGTATTTTGTTCACAGAAGTCTCGAGGCAGTTTTGGTGGTAGCTCGACAGGATGTATTAAAGCAATCATTGCCGATGGGTATATGTACATCAAGCATTCCAGGAAGAAGCAGTCTACCCTAGTGTTTCTCAACCTCATTTGTGCCAGGGACTGGCAAGCTCGGGTCCTTCCTCCTTTGGGGACTGCTTCAATTACAACTAGCAATGGACTAAATCAGTGTTATTAGCTAACCATCTCAGACGCCAGTGAACATCATCCCAGCCCAGGAACCTAGAGAAACACTGCACCCAATCTGTTTGAAATTACTATTGGATGTAACATCTACACGGCTACATATTCTCTCTCACAGTGGTTTCTGAGACAGCAGCAATGACTGTAGAAGAGCAGCTTGTCTTAGTCACCTCAAATCTAATCTCCTTTCCTTAAAATGCCACAGGTGTATCACCACTCTGGAACGACCATCAATACTGAGTAAAACAACAGTGATTATCAGTCAGCACAGTCAGCACAGTCTGTATATTCCAATGGCTAAAGGATGCAGCATCAGCCTACACACAGAGCAGTACTCTCTACCAGAAACCTGTCTTAGTCTTACCCATCTCATCTCTGACAGTGTGAATGTGTTTACCCAGAAACCAGCAATGAACTGAGACTGGCTTTTCTAATCTCTTCAGAGATCTCCTTTAAATACTACCACAGGATGTGTTTCACCACTTTGGAGCGACAAACATCACTGATTATTAACACCATCATCGCCTATAAAAATCGAGTGTCGTTTTTAAGACCTATGGTCGGAGTGGTGGCTATTGGCTACATGGCAGCCAAACTTAGGTTTCATTTTAGGAGTTTCAGATGTTTAGTGAAGCAAAAGCTGTTAAAAGCATTTCATTTTCAAATAGCCAAATCTCAGGGGATTCCTCGATCAACAGGCCACAAGCTGTGTAGCTGACAGCTAGACATGCGCCAAGGGCCGTTCCCGAATTAGGAATTTGTGCCTTTCCTGCACACTTCAGTATTCTACCTTATTCAGTCGCGTAACGCACTCTGCAGGACTGGCGAACTTGCGCGCTCTAAATACATTTCATTCAACCGCTGAAAACCCTCCCACTTTGTGAGTTTTCATTCAATGGGTTTGTTAGTACATTTATCTTAACCCATCCCTTTAAATATGGTGCACTTTTTAGTTTTAGTTTGACAGACTAGAAAATATCGAGAGAATGGGTTCAGAATATTAGCGATCAATGAAAGAAAGACTTTTAAAAATATATGCTTATTCGTCTTCATTTCAGCTCCAACTGGTAGATTTTAAAAAAAAATACTCTGATGTACAATATTTAGGTCTAGGAAAGTATTTATGAATAATTAAAAACAGGTTTGGAGAGCCTTTACGCATGAAAGAAAGATGTGGTTTGATTCATTCTGAAAATTGCCACATTCAGAAGATTAGTGGTCATATAATTATATTAGGGAGAATAGTGTACAATAGTAGGCTATACCCTCGTCGATTGCCTGCACTAACCATGGAACTGTGTGATGACACGGCCAAGTACTGCGCTATGTGTCAGTTTCAAACTGTTATGGCTTGGTCTGCGCTCCACTCCATAACGATTTAATTAGCCTACATTTCTTTATATATTATCAACTGTTACTAATGATCCTCAACAACAATCACACGGCTGCGTTTACAGAGTAAGCAAATGAAGGTAAACGAAACAATGTAATTAAATGGCATAGTTATAATATAGTCTTTACAAACTGAACGGAAATAACAGTAAATTGGCAGTTGAATATGTGTGGATATTAGGGCTACTGATGGTCGATACTGATAGTGGCTAATATTTAACATGATAGAAATAGTAAACAGAGAAAGTCGGGGTAGCCTATAATTAAGACATTCGACAGTGCCCATCCCTGCAAGTTAAGGCCGTACAATTTAAATGCTACATAATACTGTGGGAAAGTTGATATGCTTCAGTTTGCTGCCATATGACTGGTTTCACGTCTCCAGCGATATTGTAAACTATATCTAAATCGAGTGTCATTTATATTTACAATTCCCTTATCCAAACATACTCATTTACCTAGCTCTTATCAACGGCTGTTATCCAGTTGTAAATTACAGTGCATGGACAATGGTGTTATTTCTATCGGAAAAAAATAAGTAAATGCTTTTTCCACTTGAAACAGGCAGGTTCGTGAGACCTTATCCATGGTTTCATCATGGGTAAAGGTGGTGGAATTATCAGAATATGGCATATCTGAATTAGGTTCCATTTAAGCATGCTTAACTCTGGCCGGAATCCAGGCCCAACTGCACACAGAGATGAGATGCAGGCAGAGCACAAAACCTTTTCTATTCCTCAACTGAGTTTTTATTGTATTTTTTAAAAGTCGTTTCTCTCTTTCCCCCCCCCCCCCCCCCCCCCCCTGTTTACTGTAGTTAACTGATAGGTAATACAAATAGCATTTGTGTAAAGAATTTAATTTACAAAATCTAAATAAATGTTCATACACAGGCTAAGGCATACATAGATCAGCTACACCCATTCTCGTCTCCATTCTGGACCTCTTCCTGCTCTGGCTGTTGTCTTTTCAGAGGAATAATATAGAGTCCGTTCTTCGCTTCCTTCAGTCTCCACCACCGACCAAGCCTGACAACAAAGACTTTATTAACAAAAACAAAGATAATTGACAAAACAGATAATGCATGAATAAAGTTAAGAGTAAAATGATGTAGTATATAAGGATGTGTCCGAGTTAAAAATAATGTAAGTCATTTGCGTAGATCTTCCCATTGGTTAATTCTGATACTTCCCAAGTGGGAAACTCGGGATCATCTGTCTACAATGACTTAGCAAGTCTGACATTTCAGAGTTCCAACTAGCACGTGAACACAGTATAAGAAGCCATTTAATATTGTAATAAGAAAAACAGGGAAGGATTTATTTCCATCACTGCCACAAGAAGTCGAGGGGGTCTTAGGATTTGGGAGTGAAATAAGTGCCACCTTGTGGGCACCTGTCCTCATTGCAACTACTTCCATACAGAACACTGAAAACAGGCTTGTTTAACTCAAAGGTTAGGCACAGAGTATATGATCAATATAGTGAGGCTTTTGATCAATCAATCATTCAGCCAGTCAGTCAATGAGTGTATAATGCTAGTAAGTACGCTCTGGGCAATATCTCTGTATGACAGGTAAGTAGCTGGGTACATACCTGTGCTCCTGTCCCACTCCTGCCACCAGGAACTTTCCAGAGCTGGAGAACTTCAGACTGTTGACAAAACCAGTCTACAAGAGAGAGGAGACAGAATGCTTTAGTGAGAAGACAGATGTTTTAATGCAGAACACTCGTACTAGTCAATTTCTCATACACATAGGCCTATACAAGCATTTCGCTACACCCACTATAACATCTGCTAAATATGTGTATGTGACCAATTACATTTTATTTGATACAAATAGGCTCAATGCTTAATGTTTGAATGACATCCAATGGTGTTTACCACATTGTCATGCTACACAATGATTGAATGCAACGCATTTAAGGTCCTAAGCGATAGAATAACCGCGATCGATAAAAGACAGTACAGACAGTACTGTGCAGCTGTCTTCATCGACGTGGCCAAGGCTTTTGACTGTCAATCACCGCATTCTTATTGGCAGACTAAATAGCCTTGGTTTCTCAAATGACTGCCTCACCAACTACTTCTCAGATAGAGTTCAATGTGTCAAATCGGAGGGCCTGTTGTCTGGACCTATGGCAGTCTATGGGGGTGCCACAGGGTTCAATTATTGGGCCGACTCTATTCTCTGTGTATATCAATGATGTCGCTCTTGCTGCTGGTGACTCTCAGATCCACCTCTACGCAGACAACACCATTTTGTATACATCTGGCCCTTCATTGGACACTGTTAACAAACCTCCAAACGAGCGTCAATGCCATACAACACTACTTCCGTGGCGTCCAACTCCAACTGCTCTTAAACGCATGCTCTTCAATCGAACGCTGCTTGCACCCGCCCGACTAGAATCACTACTCTCGGCGGGTCTGACTTAGAATATGTGGACAACTACAAATACCTAGGTGTCTGGTTAGACCGTAAACTCTCCTTCCAGACTCACATTAAGAATCTCCAATCCAAAGTTAAATCTAGAACCGGTTTCCTATTTCACAACAAAGCCTCCTTCACTCATGCTGCTAAACATGCCCTCGTAAAACTGACTATCCTACCGATCCTTGACTTCGGCGATGTAATTTACAAAATAGCTTCCAACACTCTACTCAGCAAATTGGATGTAGTCTATCACAGTGCCATCCGTTTTGTCACCAAAGCCCCATATACTACCCACCATTGTGACCTGTACGCTCTCGTTGGCTGGCCCTCACTACATATTCGTCGCCAAACCCACTGGCTCCAGGTCACCTATAAATCACTTCTAGGCAAATCCCTGCCTTATCTTAGATCATTGGTCACCATAGCAACACACACTCATAGTATGCATTCCAGCAGGTATATCTCACTGGTCATCCCCAAAGCCAACACCTCCTTTGGCCGCCATTCCTTCCAGTTCTCTGCTGCCAAATGACTGGAACGAACTGCAAAAATCTCTGAAGCTGGAGACTTTTATCTCCCTCACTAACTTTAAGATCAGTTGTTCAGAGCAGGCTTACCGATCACTGCACCTGTACACAGCCATCTGTAATTAGCCACACCCAACTACTCCTCCCTATTGTTATTTACATTGTATGTCTCCCGAGTGGCGCAGTGGTCTAAGCACTGCATCGCAGTGCTAGCCTGATGCCACTGAGATCTGGTTCGCATCCAGCTCTGGCGAGCCGCCGCGACGGGAGAACCCCATGGGGGCGGCGCAAAAGTGGCCCAGAGTTGTCCAGGGTAGGGGAGGGAATGGCCGGCAGGGATGTTAGCTCCGTTGGTAGAGCATGGCGTTTGCAACGCCAGGGTTGGGGTTCGATAAAATAATGTATGCGCTAAATGTAAGTCGCTCTGGATAAGAGCGTCTGCTAAATGATAAAATGTAATGTAAATGTTATTTATTTTGCTAAATTTGCACCCAGTATCTCTATTTGCACATCATCTCTGCACATCTATCACTCCAGTGTAATACTAAATTGTAATTATTTTGCACCATGGCCTATTTATTGCTTTACCTACATAAATTACTACATTTGCACACACTGTATATAGATTTTATATTGTGTTATTGACATTGTTTTGTTTATTCCATATGTAACTCTGTTGTTGTTTTTAAATCGCACTGCTTTGCTTTATCTTGGCCAGGTCAGAGTTGTAAATGAGAACTTGTTCTCAACTGGCTAAATAAAAAAGGAGAAATATATATATATTTTTTTTAAATGGGTGACTGCAGGGGGGAGTCTGTAGCTCAGCTGGTAGAGCACGGCGCTTGTAACGCCAGGGTAGTGGGTTCGATCCCCGGGACCACCCATACACAAAAAAAAAAAAGTATGCACGCATGACTGTAAGTCGCTTTGCATAAAAGCGTCTGCTAAATGGCATATTATTATTAGGTATGGAGCAGTGTAGCTGGGACTTGCTTACCACAGGGATGCTGAAGAGAGGCTCCAGGTGACGGAACCCCTGGCCACACTTCCATAGCTGCACCTTAGAGTTGTGTGAACCTACCAAGTGACAACAGTTGTTCAATTCCAGCATCAATTGGACAGGTAAATATTAGCAGTCAACTCCTAATACACTCCCCTCCATATTTATTTGGACAGTGAAGCTAAAATTGGTACATTTGGCTCTATACTCCAACATTTTGGATTTGAGATCAAATGTTTGAGGTGACAGTACAGTATTTTAATACATATATATTTATCCGATTAGAAATGATAGCACTTTATGCATCTTGCCCCCCCCATTTGAATAAGTTATTTTTCCATAAGTCTTTGGACAAAGTAGTCAAAAGTTTAGTATTTGCTCCCATATTGCTAGCACGTAATAACTTGTGACTCTACAAACTTGTTGGATGTTAGAGTAGAGCCGAATTTACACACTTTAGCTTCACCGTCCAACTAAATATGGAGGGGAGTGTATAGGACCAAGGATTGCGCACTAATATAGAGTATCACACTACAGATTTACAGTACGCATTATAGCAAGGAGAGCTGGAAGTTTGGGGTTGATCATTACTAATAACTCACACACGGTGTGTATAGATGAGACAGTGTATAGCAAAGCTGGCGAAGAGGACGTTCACAGCCGAAGCTACGGTGTCAATAGTTCTGCAGAGCTGTGTGTGTATAGACGAGACAGAGCTGTGTGTGTATAGACGAGACAGAGCTGTGTGTGCATAGACGAGACAGAGCTGTGTGTGTATAGACGAGACAGAGCTGTGTGTGCATAGACGAGACAGAGCCGTGTGTGCATAGACGAGACAGAGCTGTGTGTGCATAGACGAGACACAGCTGTGTGTGTATAGACGAGACAGAGCTGTGTGTGCATAGACGAGACAGAGCTGTGTGTGTATAGACGAGACAGAGCTGTGTGTGTGTATAGACGAGACAGAGCTGTGTGTGTGTGTATAGACGAGACAGAGCTGTGTGTGTGTGTATAGACGAGACAGAGCTGTGTGTGTGTGTATAGACGAGACAGGGCTGTGTGTGTGTGTATAGACGAGACAGAGCTGTGTGTGCATAGACGAGACAGAGCTGTGTGTGCATAGACGAGACAGAGCTGTGTGTGCATAGACGAGACAGAGCTGTGTGTGTGTATAGACGAGACAGAGCTGTGTGTGTATAGACGAGACAGAGCTGTGTGTGTATAGACGAGACAGAGCTGTGTGCAGACGAGTGTTATAAAGCTGCTGACTCTCACAGCCGGTGGTACCTGAGGCTACAGTGTCAGAGTTCTGCAGAGCTGCCACGGCTGCCACCCAGTAGGGCTGCTCCAGCCCGAAGTCGCCATGCCGCCCATGGGCTGCCTTCACCGTGCTGAGGGGCTTCTTCTTGTTCACACTCCAGAGGGAGACGGAGCTGGGGTGAGGAAGAGAAATCGTTTTTGACTAATGAAAACATTTGTAAGACACCATACTGTGCCGTTTGGGGAGAAGTCACAAAGTGGTTACAGAACCTCTACAGGTGTGAAGTATGATGACACCTAGTGGAGTATAAATCCAAACACGTACCCATCATCAGCGCCTGTTATCATGTGTTCTTCATTAATGAGCTGGATACAGTCGATGGAGCCCCTGAGCGAGAGTGGGAGGAGCAGTCCCAGTAGGTTAACACACAAGGACAATAGACACTGTCTCGGACCAACAGACTCTATACAGTGTTGTCAGACTGACTAACACAGAGAAAGAGAGAGAAAGGAGTCCAGGAAGACTCACTCATGGCCATGGAACACTAGCTGGGACTCCTCAGCAATCTTCCACACCCTCACAGTGCGGTCCCTCCCCCCTGCAGTCACACAGCGCTCCCGACTCCCACTGTCCAGCCCCGTGATCACATCCTGGTGACCAAATCTAGGGAGACAAACACACGGTCAATAAAACACAAACAATTCTTATGCCAACCTGAAGAAACACACAGACATTACTAGTCAGCTACTCACAGGGTTTCCACATAGGCGTTTTCGTCCACGTTCCACACCTTGATGGAGCGGTCGTGAGAGGCACTGTACAGGTCATGGGTGCCCCTCCTGAAGGACAGGCCCTGTGGAGAACAGATGGCTCAGTTTGTGAGAGGGTGCGACAAAAATAATATGAATTTAAAAGAAATAACATTTTAAAGGAAGAAGAGCTTACCGACACAGGGCCTCTATGTCCTGTGAACTTGTACAGGTGTTTACATGTTGCTGCCTCCCAAATCATGATCAACTTATTAATGTCACCCGTTGCCAGGTACTTGCCGTCCGATGATATGGACATACACAGGACATGGGCTGTATGTCCAACATGGCGATCCTCTGTTCCTTTCCTCCCACCAGCTATTGTGTGCAGTCTCTTACCATTCTCTACATCCCCTGCAGTTACAGAAGAAAATGGGAGAATACATGAGTAAGCGCACTTTAACTGTGTTGCATTTTAGGTAGCATGACAGATTTTGTGCAGTCTATTTCAGTACAACATCAAACATATCTTTGATTATTTTGGAGAAGAAAGTAAACAAACAAATATAATGTTGACTCACATTTGATGATGGAGCAGTCTTTGGCAGCGGAGAAGACATGCTTGTCATCAGGAGAGATGACCAGACAGGTGACTGGCAGCTTGTGGCCTCGCAACATACGAATCTCTGATGTGTCTGGTGGCAGGAGCTGGAAACCATGACAACATAGGGGTTGTGTTTAGTAGGCACGAAACAGAAGTGGACAGAAATGGGTAGGTCCAATCAAAAACGTTTGTTTTCATTTTTCAATGTGCCCTACTCAATGACCACAGCTTTGGTGTTACACAACTCACTATGGGCCATAGAAAACTAATACTGTGTGGATACTGGATGGACATACACAGAGAGTGCTTTTATGGGAGACACCCAACACAGATACTCACATCTTTTGCAACCATCCGTTGAAGCTTTCCTTTCTGCTCAAGCTGAGGAAAACAGAACTTGGTCACTATAAGGTCAATACCATATTCATAAAAGGACTTGTGATGTATATTAGAGCTATAATCAGCATTACAATGTTGGAGCTAGTACACTTACCACTTCTTCTTGAAGTCTTCCAGCTATCAGGTCAGTCTCAAAAGACTCTTCCTCTGCCTTCTTTTCTTCTATTGATAAGACATGAAGACAGAACAGTGAAGCATCAGATTCCAAACAAGCACTTAAACACAACGTTTTATATAAAGCAATTTAGCACAGTTCAATTAATAGTTACAGTAGCTAGCTAACGTTACTCCCTTACCCTCATCCCTCAATTGGTCAAGGTAGAGCTTGGCTAATCGTAGTTTCTTTTCCTGTGGAGTCTCATCAAACTCTTCTTCGACATTGGCCCTCCTTTTTCTGTGCACTGCAGGGCTACATAACGATATTGTTTCAACTGATGTTTTGTCCACTCACACAGCTAAAAATTAATCAGTTTGCTCGCCAACTTAGATAGCTAACTGGTCAGCCAGCCAACTACAGTAAGTAAGCCTACCCTTCTGTTTCAGAGTCGCTGGAGATTTCTTCATTGTGCTTTGAATTGAGCTTCTTCTTGAGTTTGTTTCCCGTGTCTCCATCATTCTAAACCAACATCACAGATCAGAAGAAAGTTAAGATAGCTAGCATTGTAGTAGCTAGGTAGACAGCTAGCTACGTGTAGCTAGCTAACGTTAGCTACCTCCTTACCTTTCGTTTTGAACCGGATGAATTCTCGCTCTTTTTGAAAACCTTTGGAGGTCCTTTTTTCTTTATAAAGAAAGACATGATTCGATTCTATAGATTGTTGTAACAGTGCTTCAGAGTTAGTCAATCTTGGCACTAGTTAGCACAAATTTTGTCCACGCAAATCAACATTAGACCCACATGGGTTCTCTCTCTTCTTATTCAACCAAACTGGAATGGACACCACAGACCCATGCTTTTGAAATGAAGGTGTAGATTGGATAATATTGAGGCATCGGTTTGTCCCGCCCACAAATACAGAGCTCTCACTGGACTATCGAGCAAGTAGGAACTAACGTCTAAATTTGATTGGCTGACAAGGCCTGTTATGTTGAGCAGAAAACTTGTGCAGGGGCAAAATCATTCCCCATAAGATGTGATCCTGACAAATAGTTCCTTGCAGAACGCAGTTAAACCAAGTAAATAATTAAAAGGATGAAATAATGTTTTTACATTAAGGTTACATCTTAAGCACAAACCTAGAAAATTTGAATTACCTCGTTGTATAACTTAAAAAATATATATTCTCCCTGCCATCAAGCACACACTAAAATACTTACTGCGACCAAATACACCGCAGTACTGCAGTACTACTTCCTCTAGCTACTAGCTAGTACCAGCGAGTACTTTTCCATGTACTGACAAAGATTTGCATCCATTCTCACTGCGATCTCAGCAACGAAATTGAATACACAGGTAGGTAACGTTAGCTGTAATATGATGTGTTAAAATCTGTAATGTATTGCTTGAAATTGGCTAATTTGTCCAATTATTAGCAAATGCCAAAAAACTGCCACCTCAGAGCTCACGTCCCGATAACGACCTGATATGGCGTCCACAGAGATGAGTCTCTTTGTGGCTAACGTTATTGCAGCGCATACAGTATCATCAATGTAGTAATAACCAATTTAAATGTAATATCCATGTAAAACTAATGGGATTAAAAGTTGATGGAAGAAAGTAATGTACAGTTTCAATATTTATATGTTATTTATTCAAATACACAATTATAGTGCTCCAGACCTGATGAAAATACGTTTTGTGTATTTAGTGAAATGTACTTATTTTCTGTGCCTGTGTTATATATTTCATCAAGGCGTTTGCCCACCTGAGTAATGGCGCCAAAGCGGGCAGCAACAACAACACACTCTGTCAGTGTCCACACAGGCTCTTCTGTCAAAATGATGAAGATTGGCATGGATCATTCTCTGGAGGATTTTGGTGAGGTAATAGAGGAGAAGTACAGAATACCAGATGATGGATATTCACCCATAGAGGTGAGAGAGGTTATCTTATTGATGATCAATTACAAACAATTACTGCAGATTACCACCCCGTTACAATCAAGTCTACTTTTTTTGTATTTAATTTGCTTCACGGAATCCTTTACCCCTTACTTTTCCACACTGCTGTATCAGTAAGGATTATGGCCCATGTACAATACCCTTTATGGTTGATGTACTGTAGTAACTGTACTGTACTGTACTAGTTCAACTGTACTATGTTTTACACCATGGTGTCGTACTTTGTTTCTCTCTCAGGGTGAACCAATCACCTTCGAGGAAGAAGACGATCAAAGTCCTGAAACGAGAACCGACACCATAACTCTCCTGATGAAAATTGATCAGCTGCAAGCGGAACTGAAATATGAGCGCAGATGCAGACAGCTGGCTGAGAGGGAACTGAAACAGATGAAAGGTATATTATAAAACTACACTCATTGTTCATTGAATTACTGAATCGTATTTAATGGGTTATTCAAAGTTGGCCAAAATAGGCTATTTTGGGGGGTTTACTAGATACATTCAACCTTCAACTTTTTTTGTGTTAACTTTAAAAAATACTTATCATGACAGATACTGCAAGTATTTTAAACACCATTGTCAATGTACTCAGTTATCTTGCAATGATGCACTGAGAAAGGTCAGGCTAATCAGTTAGGGTGATTGCTGTTGAGCTATTATCTATCTTTATAAAATGTCTTGACGAATAATCGATTCTCGTTGGTCAAATGGGTGTTGCTGATTATTTTCTGATACTTTGTCAGAGATGAACAACCTGCCAATGTACTCAGTTATCTTGAAAATATTAATTTGAAAAGGTGGATCAGTTAGGGGGATTGCTCATGAGTGGTCTACAGTGCATTCGGAAAGTATTCAGACCCCTTGACTTTTTCCACATTTTGTTACGTTACAGCCTTATTCTAAAATTGATTAAATAGTTTTTTGCCCCCTCATCAATCTACACACAATACCCCATAATGGCAAAGCAAAAACAGGTTTTTAGAATTTTTAGCAAACGTATTAAAAATAAAAAACGGAAATATCACATTTACATAAGTATTCAGACCTTTTACTCAGTACTTTGTTGAAGCACCTTTGGCAGCGATTATAGCCTCGAGTCTTCTTGGGTATGACGCTACAAGCTTGGCACACCTGTATTTGGGGAGTTTATCCCATTCTTCTCTGCAGATCCTCTCAAACTCTGTCAGGTTGGATGGGGAGCGTCGCTGCACAGCTATTTTCAGGTCTCTCCAGAGATGTTCGATCGGGTTCAAGTCCGGGCTCTGGCTGGGCCACTCAAGGACATTCAGAGACTTGTCCCGGAGCCACTCCTGCATTGTCTTGGCTGTGTGCTTAGGGTTGTTGTCCTGTTGGAAGGTGAACCTTTGCCCCAGTCTGAGGTCCTGAGTGCTCTGGAGGAGGTTTTCATCAAGGATCTCCCTGATCTCTTTTTGCTCCGTTCATCTTTCCCTTTATCCTGACTATTTTCTCAGTCCCTGCCGCTGAAAAACATCCCCTCAGCATGGTGCTGCCACCACCATGCATCACTGTAGGGATGGTGCCAGGTTGCCTCCAGACGTGACACTTGGCATTCAGGCCAAAGAGTTCAATCTTGGTTTCATCAGACCAGAGAATCTTGTTTCTCATGGTCTGAGAGTCCTTTAGATGCCTTTCGGCAAACTCCAAGCAGGCTGTCATGTGCCCTTTTACTGAGGAGTGGCTTCCGTCTGGACACTACCATAAAGGCCTGATTGGTGGAGTGCTGCAGAGATGGTTGTCCTTCTGGAAGGTTCTCCCATCTCCACAGAGGAACTCTGGAGCTCTTTCAGAGTGACCATCGGATTCTTGGTCACCTCCCTGACGAAGGTTCTCCCCCGATTGCTCAGTTTGGCCGGGCGGCCAGCTCTAGGAAGAGTCTTGGGGGTTCCAAACTTATTCCATTTAAGAATGATGGAGGCCAATGTGTTCTTGGGGACCTTCAATGCTGCAGACATTTTTTGGTACCCTTCCCCAGATCTGTGCCTCGAGACAATCCTGTCTCGGAGCTCTACGGACAATTCCTTCAACCTCATGGCTTGCTTTTTGCTCTGACATGCACTGTGGACTGTGGGACCTTATATAGACAGGTGTGTGCCTTTCCAAATCATGTCCACTCAATTGAATTTACCACAGGTGGACTCCAATCAAGTTGTAGAAACATCTCAAAGATGATCAATGGAAACAGGATGCACCTGAGCTCAATTTCGACTCTCATAGCAAAGGGTCTGAATACTAATGTAAATAAGGTATTTCTGTTTTTATTTTTAATGCATTTGCAAACATTTCTAAAAACCTGTTTTTGATTTGTCATTATGGGATATTGTGTGTAGATTGATGAGGGAAAAAAAAAAAGTATTCCATTTTAGAATAAGGCTGTAATGTATGAAAATTTGGAAGATGTCAAGGGGTCTGAATACTTTCAGAGTGTACAAAACATTGCTCTTTCCATGACACAGATTGACCAGGTGAATCTAGGTGAAAGCTATGATCCCTTATTGATGTCACTTGTTAAATCCACTTCAATCAGTGTAGATGAAGGTGAGGAAACAGGTTAAATAAGGATTGTTAAGCCTTGAGACAATTCAGACATGGATTGTGTATGTGTGCCATTCAGAGGGTGAATGGGCAAGACAAAATATTTAAGTGCCTTTGAACGGGGTAGGGACCAGGCGCATTTATTTAAGTGTGTCAAGAACTGCAACGCTGCTGGGTTTTTCACGCTCAACAGTTTCCCGTGTGTATCAAGAATGTTCCAGCACCCAAAGGACATCCAGCCAACTTGACACAACTGTGGGAAGCATTGGAGTCAACATGGGCCAGCATCCCTGTGGAACGCTTTCGAGACCTTGTAGACTCCATGCCCCGACGAATTGAAACTGTTCTGAGGCAAAAGGCGGTGCAACTCAATATTAGGAAGGTGTTCCTAATGTTTTGTACACTCAGTGCATAATACTCTCTTGTAATACTTTGTCAGAGATGAACGACCTGATGACCCAGATGAGACACACAGCCCATGACCTAAGGACTGTTCTGGACCACGCCCGGGGGCAGCAGGGGAACGATGTGAACGATGTTGTGAACGACGTTGTCACCCCAGAGAGCTGTGAGGGGCAGAGCATCTCTTATGCAGACGTGCCAGTTCAGATGTCACAGGAAGTAGAGGTGAGGTCACCACCCCCATCAGGCCTTTCTACATTGTAGTTGCTGCTACTGTCACATTCAACTCGTCCTCTCAAGAAAATTATGTATATAGCCTAATGTTTGCCTGGGTTCAGACAGACGACCTGAGATAGGCATTAGGATTACTTTAGCCTGGTTAAACCAGACCGAATGCTGCACCCACAGCTAAAACAATGGTAAGTGCATCATGCAGTCTAATTTAACCAGGCTAGGAGTACTTATGATGAACGGAGATACACAATATCCAAACGTTGCTGGCCATAAAATAAAGCAATTCAAATAAAGTATCTCTCTAAAATAAAACTAGATATGTCTCTGACAAATCAACTTTGCAATGTTCTCTGACAATGGACACTTCAGTTCTGTCTTTGACTTTATCAGGACGCTAACTATATCCACCTCCCCGGGGGTCTGAGAGTGCAGAGGAATCTGTACAAGGGGATCTCAGAGATCATGGACTTCAAGAAGTACATCTCAGCCATGCTGATGGTGCTGTTTGACAGGGAGACGTTGGGCACACACAGTCTGCAGGGCAGGAGGTGTAACATCGCCAAAGAGGAAACCCAGAAACCTCAACTCCCCCCTGACATCATGAGAGGCCTTCTAGGTACTGTACTTTGTCTATTTCTTATTGCTGTCTATTTTATTCAACCTTCATATAACCAGGTTGTCTCACTGAGGTCGGAGGACCTCTTTCCCAAGGGAAAGTCATCCAAGCAAACCAAAATTGGTTCTGTGAAAGTTCCCAGGACATTCGTTAGGTTGCTGCATATTTTCTCATAACATAAAACTGTCCAGTCGTGCTGATGATTATAGAATGTTTGTATAAAATGCTCCTAGAACATATTTATGGTGAGAACATTGTGGGGACGTCACAAAAGATATGTTCCCAAAACACAAAAACTGTCCAGTTGTGCGGATGATTCTACAATGTTTATTTTAGGGTGCAAAAAACATTCACCTGATGTTACAAGAACATTCCCAGAACACATTTCCTCTGTTCTTTAAAGGTACCCATAATGTTTTATTAGGTTGTGGGAAAAGTATGGTAGGAACATTGTAGGGACATCACAAAAGATATGTTCCCAAAACACTAAAACTGTCCAGTTGTGTGGATGATTCTACAATGTTTCTTTTAGGGTGTAAAAAACATTCACCTGATGTTACAATAACGTTCCCAGAACAAATTTAGTCTGTTCTTTAAAGGTTCCTAGAATGTTTCTTTAGGTTGTGGGGATATGACAAGAGATAGGTTCCCAAAACACTAAAATTGTCCAGTTGTGCTGATATTCATAGAATTCTTTAGTTAGGTTCAAGTCTTGCCATAGATTTTCAAGCTGATTTAAGTCAAAACTTTAACTAGGCCACTCAGTAACATTCAATGTGGTCTTGGTAAGCAACTCCAGTGTATATTTGGCCTTGTGCTTTAGGTTATTGTCCTTCTGAAAATTTCATTTATCTCCCAGTGTCTATTGGAAAGCAGACTAAACCAAGTTTTCCTCTAGGGTTGTGCTTCGCTCTATTCAGTTTATATAGCCATAACATGATGCAGCCACCACCATGCTTGAAAATATGAAGTGGTATTCAGTGATGTGTTATGTTGAAATTGCCCCAAACATAACACTTTGTATTCAGGAAATAAAGTAAATTTCGTTGCCACATTTCTTTCAGTTTTACTTTAGTACCTTATTGCAAACAGGATGCATGTCCTGTAATATGTTTTATTCTGTACAGACTTCCTTCTTTTCACTCTGTCATTTAGGTTAGTACTGTGGAGTAACTACAATGTTGTTGATCCTTCCACAGTTTTCTCCTATCACAGCCATTAAACTCTGTGACTGTTTTAAAGTCACCATGAGAAAACCCCTGAGCGGTTTCCTTCCTCTACGGCACCTGAGTTAGGAAGGGCGCCTGTATCTTTGTAGTGACTGGGTGTATTGATGCACCATCCAAAATGTAATTAATAACTTCACCATGGTCAAAGGGATGTTCAGTGTCTGCTTTTTAAAATCTTTACCCATCTACCAATAGGTGCCCTTCGTTGTGAGGCATTTGAAAACCTCCCTGGTCTTTGTGGTTGAATCTGTGTTTGAAATTCACTGCTCGACTGAGGGACCTTAAAGATAATTGTATGTGTGGTATACAGAGATGAGGTAGTCATTCAAAAATCATGTTAACTATTATTGCACACAGTGAGTCCATGCAACTTATTATGTGACTTGTTAAGTTAATTTTTACTCCTGAACTTATTTAATCCTGAACTTATTGACTCAAGACATTTCAGCTTTTAATTTTTTATTAATTTGTAAAAAATTCTAAAAACATAATTCCACTTTGACATAATGGGGTATTGTGTGTAGGCCAGTGACAAACAATCTCAATTGAATCCATTTTAAATTCAAGCTGTAACACAACAAAATGTGGAAAAAGTCAAGGGATGTGAATACTTTCTGAAGGCACTGTATTATGTGACTTGCTAAGCAAATGTGTACTCCTGAACTTATTTAGGCTTGCCATAACAAAGGGGTTGAATACTTATTGACTCAAGACATTTCAGCTTTTCATTTAGAATGAATTTGTAAAAACATAATTCCACTTTCACATTGTGGTGTATTGTATGTAGGCCAGTGACTCTGAATCTGAAGGCACTGTATGTTTTTTATTTCTAATGATAAAAGATAGATAATATATATTTTTTCCAGATCACGTGAGGATAAAGTTTGGTGTGGATTACAGTGCGATCCGAGCTGCCGTCAGAACAAAGTTAAATAATGAAGACAAACTGTTGAAGAAGAGACTTGGGATCCGTTGAATCTACAGTCAAAAAAATACAAATAACCAAAAACCAGGTTATAATCAAACAATTGTTTACATTGCAAGTACTGTACTCTGTCCTGTAAGTGCAATGTTTTATTCCACCAACAGATGTCAGTGTGTAGACAGTTTAGTTGTATGATGTTACTTTTGATCAGAAGGAGATTGACTTTGTCTGTTTGTATGATTTAAGAGTACTGTAGATTACACATGTTATAGATTACATTTGTGATAGATTCACTCACATAGTAGCCTTAACAACACATTATTATATAATGATTGTGCCTGTTAAATAAATGTCTTTCTGATTCCCACTCATCTCACAACATCCAATCTGGTCTTCACTAATGCTATTAAATGATGTTTTTATAATTTAAACATTTTTTGAACCCCTAACTGTGTGTGTGTGTAGGGAGTCCTGGAGGGACAGGAGGAGGACAGATAAGTGTGTGTGTAGGCTGAGGCATAGCATACAGTGTGTGACAGTCATATACTGACTTAGAGATGAGAGAAACAGAGTGTGGGCGGGACAATGATGGTGGGTGTGGTTTCATAAAAGCATCCTCACCAATGATCCTCTGTTGATGTGCTTCTAACGGTGACCTGTGGCTAGCCCCTCCCCCAGCCAGTTGTTCTGTCTCTGAGGACCCTAGTCTGAACATCACCTATCAGTCTATCACTACTCTCCTTTGACACCTTCACCAGTCCTACCCAGAAGTCCTTCCCACAGGACGTCCATCCATCAGGGATACTTGTCAACCCAAGGACCAAGACCGCCAGGAACAGGGGTAATAGAAGGAGCAGCCAGCCTTAGTGAGCCGTCCCTGGGGTCAGCTCGAAAGGTTGATGGAGGGTTAGGGACAGGGTTAGGGACAGGTGCACCTGTTGTCTTACTATCTGTTGGAGCCGACCCAGACACCAGAGCCTCACAGCTGGCCTGGAGACATACTGTAAATGAGTTCCACTTGGACAGACAAACACCAGCACCTTCTGAGGTAGTTTTACCCTTTATAACTCAAGGAGGATTTTATAAAGGATTTATGATACTCTCCCAATTCATGTCAGGTGAGTTATGATTTAATTATTTCAATCAAAAAGGTTTATTGTGGTTTAAAGTCATTATTTACTAACTAGATTTTGTGCTTGGTCTCTACACTGAAATAAATACGATTGGTACTTGTATTGAATTGGTGCCTAAATTGATAACACAAATTCTTAGCTTACATGTTGAAATAAGCTTGGGTAGCCTATTATTTAGCTGGAGCTCAGTGTGTTGGGTTTAATCGATACAGAAAACAGCCTAGAAGAGTTGTATGCTGATGTGAACTAGAATTGTCCCGCTGTGGTACATCAAAAGAATGTCTCACATAAAGAGGGGTGATTTATTTGTAGCAGATGTTTTCATTTCAATCAAATGATACTAGATAACTTGTTCAAGTACATAGAATTGGGAATACCCTCTTGCGCTCCCGTACCTGACAGTCCTTTTTCAATTGTTTGAGTTTAGACATTTAAGAAAATCATACTTTTTGATGGGCAACATACTGGTGAAGTAGACTTTTAAATAAATTATTTTTTAGCAAGTCATTTTCCTAAGAATGTAGGGATATTCAACCAAAGGCTATTGCATGTCTGGACATGGCCAGTTCAGAAGCCTTGTTTAAACCTTAAAAGGAAATGCCATATTTTGAATGTAGGCCTAATACTAGGACAGGATGAAAACGGCGACATCCTTACATAACCACACGAGAATGTACTGTACATGCACTGACTAGTCCTTCCTGTGCTGTGGATAAATCTCATTAACATGGCATGCCAATCTGCTGTCCGGCCACCAGAGCAGATTTCAGGGGGAGAGAGCATCAGTAGGGAAGCACTGTTCTAGTATGGTAGTTTGGCAGACATGGAAATAAGACACAACAGAACAGAATGCATTAGTAATAGGTTCTGGGAAAAGGATGATGCTCCTAGCACAGCAGTGATTCAGGTGACTGTGTGTGTGTGTGTGTGTGTGTGTGTGTGTGTGTGTGTGTGTGTGTGTGTGTGTGTGATCATGGCACACACAAAGGGAGAAGGGCATAATATGTGAGCTGTGTGGGTGGAGATAAAGTTGCTTTGAAGTCACACACCTGATGTAACTATATGCCTGACATTTAGGCTTACAGGTACAGTAAAGCCACTACCTCTGAAGTTACAAACACACAGACATCCACAGGGTCTGATACAATCTTTGAACAGGAGCATGGGAAATATCAACGTGACTAGGCCTATATTGTGCATTAGTGTGACCAAAATACAGTGTTCATTGAACTATATTGTTTTTGATGTGGTCTGGGCAGAACAGCAGTAGCTTTGTGTGTGTCGCTGGGATCAGGAGATCAAGTCTGTCCTGGTAAGAGATCGTGTGAGACTTTGATGGCCCTACACAGGCAGGGTGACACTAGGCACATACTAATCAACAGGGTCAGTCCCCTGCAGCTGCATTGCTAAAACAAGCAAGCTCATTATCTCTCATTTCAAAAGGTTAGGGAAGGATGGAGGAGAGAAGAGAGAGTGAGAGGGTGTCCTCTCCTCCATGAATTATTCCTATTGATCAGGTCCCTGTCCTCCTCTCCTCTTACAGAAAGAGAGAGGGTGGGTGGGGGGGGGGGTGGAGAGAGCATCCTTTCTATTATAAATATTCTAATATAAATATTATAAATTATAGATGTCCTATTCCATAGCTTTTGGCTAGATGGTAGACACCTGTGTCAATCAACTGTGATGAAACTAATAGGTGGTAACAACATAGATGATTTCATTATGGATACTTTTGAACACAAGGAATAATTGACAGTGTACAAAATGAAAACAGAACATATTCCTAAATAACAGAACAATTTCACTTCCATTGTGGATTTGACATACAATTGTTGTTATTATCCCTTGACAGTATTAAGTTGGACATTGCAATCATTAAAACAGAACAGGGTTTAACAGTGCTTAACAGTGCTTACGCATAAGATAACTTTGCGCTCCGGTTGGCTGGCTCTTGCAATGGTAAATTATGATATCAGTGTTTGTGTTGTTTTCACCATAGTTTCTTTGAAGATGTAATGGCCTACAAAACTTGCCTTATGATGATTTACTGTCAATACAAAACTATCCCCAAAAACACTCCCAGTCCCTTGATGTCATCTTCCTTTTTCTTCCAACAGGGAAAAGGAGTATAACTGTTTGACTCCTGAGCAGAATGAATCATCTGGCTCACCACAGTGAAAGATGGGGTCTAGGCCTAATGGTTTGTTCATGATGTATCTTCTGAAACTCTCATCGTGAACTATGGAACACTCTGGTTCACCTCTGACCCCCGACCTCAATGATACTACAGCCAATGACAGCCTGTGGTGGGGGCTGGGGTCGCCCCTCCCCTCAGCCCCTAGCAGACAGCTGGGCACCTTGCCCAACGCTCAGACCCGCTTCAAGGACCTGTCAGGGATATTGTTCATGGTGACCCTGAACGTGGTGGCCCTGCTGGCTAACACAGCCGTGCTGGTGGTGGTGGTCAAGGCCCCACACCTCAGGTACTTGGTACTTTTTTGATTTGATTAATTTTTTACCCGTTAATAACACAATTCAACCACAATGCATAATCAACAAGGATAACCAAAAAGTGTAACAATTTATTGCCATTGTGGTCCTCATTTTGGCCAGCGGGCAGGTTAAATATACACCAGATTACAAATACATAAAAACAGATCCATGATAAAAGGAGCTTGTGTCCCCTATGATTTTCTATTGCACAATTCCCTTGTTTCTATTGCTTATACTATTGAATTTGAGTTTTTAACTTATGGAATCTATTAGATACTGTATCTCATGTATTCCACTTGTTTCACCAGACATCAGTAAATTCAATTTGTTGTAATGAATGCATCATGTGTGTATTGTTTCCTCTCTGGGGATTAATACAGTTAATTCCATTCAATTCAGGAAGTTTGTCTTTGTGTGCCACCTGTGTGCGGTGGACCTGCTGTGTGCCGTGCTGCTCATGCCCCTGGGCATTGTGTCCAACTCGCCGTACTTTGCCAGCGTAGTGTTCACAGTGCTGGAGTGCCAGGTTTACGTCTTCCTCAACGTGTTCCTCATCGCAGGTACAGTACAAGGGACAGACAGAAATTAGGGCTGCATCCGAAATGGAACCCTATTCTGTATATAGTGCACTACTTTTGACCAGAGCTTTGGTCAAAAGTAGTGCACAAGGCCTATACTCTGGATAGGGTTCCATTTCGGACACATGGCCTTTAATCAATCGATGATTTTATTGTTATTTTACACATTCTTAGTGTTTTTTTATGTTCTTATATTCATCTCTTTTGTACAGTATCTTCTGTTTATTTTTATCACTTTAATTTGATTGTTGTACTGTGTGTAGCAACAAGTTTGATTTTAATTACAGCCTCCATCCTCACCATCACGGCCATCAGCGTGGAGCGCTACTACTACATCGTCCACCCCATGCGCTACGAGGTGAAGATGACCCTGAAGCTGGCCTCAGCTGTCATGGTCCTGGTCTGGGTGGCCTCAGCCCTGCTGGGGCTGGCCAATGTGTTCGGCTGGCCCAGCTACAGCAGCCTGAGCTCCGTCAGCGCCGCCCACTGCTCCCTCCACTGGAGCCACAGCGGCCACCACCGGGCCTTCTCTGTCCTCTTCACAGTGGCCTGTTTCTGCCTGCCTACTGCGGTCATCTTCACTGTGTACTGTAACGTCTATAAAGTGGCCCGCGTGGCGGCTAGACAGCATGGACTGTTACCCTCCTGGACGGCCAGTCATCCTAAACACCGCTCGGACTCCATCAGCAGCCAGTCCACCATCATCACCACCCGCAGCGCCCCCAGGAGGCTGCACCACCACAGGCCCTTCGGCGGGGGCAAGGCCGCCCTTACCCTGGTGGTCATTGTGGGCCAGTTCCTGCTCTGCTGGCTGCCTTACTTCTCCTTCCACCTGCACCTGACTATCAACAACCCACCCAAAGTCCCCGCCGACCTGGAGGAGACCATCACCTGGCTGGCGTACTCCTCCTTCGCCGTCAACCCTTTCTTTTACGGGCTGCTGAACCGCCAGATCAGGGAGGAGCTGTGTAAGCTACGGCGCTGCTACTCCGCCCAGCCCGTCGAGCTGGCCATATCCAGCGGCCACGAGGGCTCGGCCCACGAGAACTTCCTGCAGTTCCTCCAGAGGACCAGCTGTACGGTGGAGACCAGAGCCAGCTTCACCTGCACATCCAGCCCCAGGAAAACCCTGGACCAGACTGGGCAGCAGACGGCTGGCTTCAGGATACCTGGGCAGATACCTGAGGATTTCAGTTAAAACGCCCCTGATATACTAACCTGGTCCCCACTTATATACGGTCACTGTATTGACACTGGTACCTGTCTGCTGTAATGGCAGAAGAGTTAAGTTAAAACTGTTAAGCCTGGACAAGACTGGGCAGACGGCTGGGTTGAAGATACCATGGCAGATACCTAAGGAGTTCAGTGAACAGTACTTGTAAATACTGTACACATGCCATGCCACTGGCATCTACTGTAGTTGACTGCTGTAATGGCTGTGCCAACTGCTCCAGGACTACTGACCTAGAGCAGCAGCACTAGCCTGTTCCCAGATCTGTTGGTGTTGTCTTGCCAACTCCTATTTTTACATGTGACAATGGCCAAAGGAGTTGACAAGACAAAACAAACAGATTGTACTAGACTACATCAGCACTAGGACCAATGAAGGACTTCAACCTCAAGCCAGTGGGGCAACAGTACTACCACCTACACACTGCCCTTAATTTAAGACAGCACTTGGAAGGGACCACAAGTAGAGGGTTTTTCTTTTGATGTTTCCAGTTTGTTAATTTGATTGAGTTTGTTCTGTATCCAGAGATGAGTCCAGACTCCAGCATATTAACTGAAGTGCATTATGTCCTGAAAAATACTGTTTTCTCAATTATGAATTGTTCTTTCTAGCTACAACTACCACTAATAGAGAGACTAATACTGCTACCTACTACCAACCTTTCCAATCACCTATATTACTACATATTCTACTACTACTACACATCTACCAGTACAAATGAATACTTGAATAATTGTATTTCCACTGTATTATATATTCACTTTCTATTTATTATTTATTCAATGTGCAATACAGGGAGCATTCAACACTTTAAGTGTAACAGTTGAGTTATTTATATTACACAATATCAAACTTGATAATTTTACTATTCTCGGTTCTCGGTTGAGGTTTAATTGCAATATTCATAACTATATACAGTATGTTTCTTACAAAACAATATGTTATTATAAGTTATCATAAATTAAAGCACATTGCATTCAATAGGCTACCTTTTTACAGGTGATGGCAGAGACTACACTCTCAAATGTGATTTATTTATATATGGAGTAGTTGTTTTTGCTTGTACAAATAAACTTCTGAAAGAACTGTTTGCAAGAAATTATGCTTATGCTGTTCTAAAAATCATGTCCTCTTCACTTCACATTTATGAAAACCTGAAGAGCTGAAGACTTCACCCTATAACTCCCACACAGCACGGAGAGAGATTAAGGGATAATATGGGATAGAGACAAACATGGGTGATCAATGCAAAATAACATTCAGAGCCACATTTTCAAAAGCCTATCGTGTCCCCTTTAAGCACGGCCCAGATTCGAACGAGAATGTGAATCTGCAAACAAATAGATAAACGAATAGATAAATAAACAGATTAGTGGAATAGATAGATACAGATGTAGGATCTATATTTGATCACCCTGTTGCAGTAGAATTTCCTGCAATGCAGTGTATTTGCAGTTGAAAAATACTTCTGATGTTTGTAATTTCCACTTACGAAAAATTGATCAACCCCTACAAAATTGTCCATTAACTATAATCCACATAATAATTCACATTTCCTGTTGCTGCAGGATTATTTTCCTGCTGTAGCAAACTGGCTCAAATGAAGGTCCTACAAATGTATATGAATGAGCTCCAGATCCTGGTCCAGCTCTGCACACTCCTGCCAGCTGACTGGGTTGCCATGGGAATGCCCTGGAAAAACAGGAAGTGGGAGCATCTTCTGTGTTTTTGAGGGAATTCAGGCTAGCTTTAGCTTGTTACAGCCAGGCAGAGGAAATACATCCTAAACAGATTCACACACACACCGATACACACACACACACACACAGCCTATTATACACGCAGGCACACAGGTACGCACACACGCACGCACACACACACACACACACACCAGTTTAAAAAACAAGGTGAGGATATTTATTAAGGCTACAATCAGGGCCAAGTATTGTGTGATAACACAGTGCCAGTTTATGATGCTCTGCTTTTTGGTGTACAAATATATTTAAATGGCTATCACTTCCACAGGATAACATTTACAGAGATGGAGTATCCAGAATAAACAATGACAGGCGGAGTATTCAGGATGGAAACTCAACACTGGACCCCAGCAGCCTCTGTCTTTGTCTCTTCTCCTTTGAAGGAGGTTGATAACCTTGGTCGATTATATTGACGCCTGGACAAAACCTAGTGATGACGTACAGGCTACAGGAAACACTGTCACCTCAACGCAAAGGTGTATACGGGAACAGAATATTGAACACACACACAAACACACACATATACTCAATGCCGAGGAGGCGGAGTGGAAAACTGGAACAGGTTAATGAACACACATGCGTACACACGCGCACACTCACACACACACACACACACAGAGGGATTAATGCTACATTTTAGGATGACAGTGTTCTGGCATAAAATGAGACACAACTCTTATTAAGCCTAGGATTAGAGTTCCCTTTATACACACAAACTCTCTCACACAGAGTACACTGTGTACATCTATAAACACACCCACACACTCTCAAACAAACCATTGCCTTGGTGTTCAACCGACCGAATTAGCATGTTTTGAAATAATAATACAATATAATAATACAAATAATATAATATATGCCATTTAGCAGACACTTTCATCCAAAAAATGTCATGCAATTCTACCCATTTTGCCATGGGGTGGAGAGACATTTTTGCAGTTTTAAAGCTAATTTCCTGCAATTCTACCCATTTTTCCAAGACTAATGACATGTTAATGATCTCTGAGTGAGAGTGACTAAAACTACTATAAGTTTAGATAGCTGGCTAGACTAACTTACCAATCTAAAAATTGTTAGCTGACATGGCTAATTGAGTGACTGTCAGGGACTGGCATAACAAGAGAAAGACTGCTGATGCACAAACGAATTTCGAAATTGCACCTTGTGTATTCTACTATTCGAACTCTCAACAGTAAGCTGAGACCCTGACAGGGCTGATGGAAACTGCTAATTTGTCTGTAAAATTTTCCAAATGTCGACTAAACAAAATTGGTCTGTTAGAAAAGGGTGGATAATTTCTTGGTGGGTGAAATAGATGTGACAATTGTGGTGGAAACATATTATAACCATCATATTGAAGTAAACGTGGAGTGATTATATGTTATGTTGTACAACCACCACCACGTGGAAAAACATGTAGAGTTCATAGGCAGATGAAATACAGTGTCTTCAGAAAGTATTCACTTTTTCCACATTTTGTTACGTTACAGCCTTATTCTAAAATGGATTTAACAAATAATCTTCAGCAATCTACACACAATACCCCATAATGACAAAGCGAAAACAGGTTTTTAGAAATGTTTGCACATTTATTAAATATAAAAAACAGAAATACCTTATTTACATAATTATTCAGACCTTTTGCTATGAGACTTGAAACAGAGGTCAGGTGCATCCTGTTCCCATTGATCATCCTTGAGATGTTTCTACAACTTGATTGGAGTCCACCTGTGGTAAATTCAATTGATTGGACAGGATTTGGAAAGGCACATACCTGTCTATATAAGGTCCCACAGTTGACAGTGCATGTCAGAGCAAAAAGCAAGCCATGAGGTAGAACGAATTGTCCATAGAGCTCCGAGACAGGATTATGTTGAGGCACAGATCTGGGGAAGGGTACCAAAAAATGTCTGCAGCATTTAAGGTGATGAGCTTTATACAAATTTCCAATAAATATCAAGGGTAACCTTATATTTGAATGCTGGTGACATGATAATCGGTGCTTGGCTGTCAATTACTTAAAACAATGTCATGCTCTTATCCATATCTCATCATATACCATAGAGAGCATGCGCCAAAACCAGATTGGGAAAGTTTGCTACACTGAACAAAAATAAACGCAACATGTAAAGTGTTGGTCCCATATTTCATGAGCTGAAATAAAACATCCCAGAACATCTCCATACGCACAAAAAGCTTATTTCTCAAAAATTTGTTCACAAATCTGTTTACATCTCTGTTACTGAGCATTTCTCATTTGCCAAGATAATCCATCCACCTGACAGGCGTGGCATATCAAGAAGCTGAATAAACAGCATGATCATTACACAAGTGCACCTTGTGCTGGGGAGAATAAAAGGCCACTCTAAAATGTGCAGTTTTGTCACACAACACAATGCCACAGATGTCTCAAGTTTTGAGAGAGCATGCAATTGGCATGCTGACTGCAGGAATGTCCACCAGAGCTGTTGTCAGAGAATTGAATGTTCCTTTCTCTACCATAAGCTGCCTCCAACGTCATTTTAGAGAGTTTGGCAGTACGTCCAACCAGCCTCACAACCGCAAACCACGTGTATGGCATCGTGTGGGCGAGCAGTTTGCTGGTGTCAACGTTTTGAACAGTTTGCCCCATGGTGGCAGTGGGGTTATGGTATGGGCAGGTATAAGCTACGGACAATGAACACAATTGCATTTTATTGATGGCAATTTGAATGCACTGAGATAATGCGATAAGATCCTGAGGCCCATTGTCTTGCCATTCATCTGCCGCCATCACCTCATGCTTCAGCATGATATTGCACGGCCCCATGTCGCAAGGATCTGTATACAATTCCTGGAATCTGAAAATGTCCCGGTTAGGGTTAGGGTTAGTATGGCCTCCATACTCATCAGACATATCACCCATTGAGCATGTTTGGGATGCTCTGGATCGACGTGTAAGACAGCGTGTTCTAGTTTCCCGCCAATATCAAGCTACTTCGCACAGCCATTGAAGAGGAGTGGGACAACATTCCACAGGCCACAATCAACAGCCTGATCAATTCTATGCGAAGGAGATGTGTTGCGCTGCATGAGACAAATGGTGGTCACACCAGATACTGACTGTTTTTTTGATCCATGCCCCTACTTTTTTTTTAAAGGTATCTGTGACCAACAGATGCATATCTGTATTCCCAGTCATGTGAGATAAATAGATTAGGGACTAATGAA